TCTTTGCACACTGTCAGCCCTCACTCTAATTTCTCTCATTCAGTAGTCTCCCTGGCTTTGGTAGATTGTAAATGAAAACAGCCGCCAAGTATCTATATATATAGAGAAAGAGCTTGTGTGAGGAAGAAGGCTAATTCCTCTCTCCCTTGAATCACAACTGACCTTACACTGCTTGGGAAATAGCTTCATCAACAAAGTCTTGCTATGAGGTCCCTGTATGAGGACCCGAGTTTGACCTTAGTACTCATGTAAAAAGCTGGATGTAGGTCCAGTGGGATGGCTGGAAGAGTGAGTGTACCTGCTACCAAGCCTGGGAACCTGCATTCAGACCTAGGAGCCCACATAGTAAAAGGAAAGTTATGTTTTGGCTTGCATGAATGCCCACATATGCTGTGTGTGTGTGTGTGTGTGTGTGTGTGTGTGGTTGTGCATGTATGCATGTGTGTATGTATTTTGAGATAAGGTTTTATTATTTAGCCCTATCTGGTCTGGAACTTGCTATCCTCCTGCATCTGCCTCCTAGGTGCTGGGACTACAGGCATGTACCACTACACCCTGCTTTAACTTGCTTCCATCTAAAACATGAAAGAATTGACACTCTGTGAGTTTCAGAGCTTATAGCTTGAGAAATCTGGAAGTTCCTATTTTTACCCTTTTGGGGTCTCGTGGTTTGAATATAAAATGTTCCCTACAGGCTCAGGTGTTGAATGCTTTGTCCCCAACCGGTAAAGCTATTTGTGGATATGATGGAAACTTTTTAATTTGTTTTATACGAGATCTTGCTTTAATCAAGCCTTCTGTGATGGCTAGACATTATTGTTAACTTAATTCAATCTAGAATCACTTGGCAAATCATTTGAACTAAAGGCTCAATTAGACTGGCCTATGGCCATGTCTATGAGAGATTGTCTTTATTAATGATTGATGTGGGAGGGCCCAGCCCACCGTAGGGGGCACCATTCCTAGGCCTGGACTATATAAGAAAGCTAGGTGAGCATGAGCCAAAGAGCAAGCCCGAAAGTAGCCTTTCTCCATGGTTTCTGCTTCAGTCCCTGCTTGAATTCCTGACCTGACTTCACTCTATGATGGCGTGTGACCCAGAAGTGCAAGCCAAATGAACTCTTCCCTCTCCAAATTGTTTTTGGTCAGAGTATCTTATCACGACAACATAAATCAAATGAGAACACCTTCAGATGGCTGAATTCCCAGTTGTCATCTGATTGCATCTTCCTGATAGACCCTGAGATAGAACCATCTAACCACGTCACTCTGGAACCCACTGACATTGTGTAAGATAAGAAGTTATTATTAGTGTTTAACCCACTGTGTTTTATAAGGACTTGTTTGCAGCACTAGATAGCTAATACAATTCAAATACCTAAACTTTAAGTGTATTAGGTTTCCATCACTATGCAAAGTACAAATCTACTTATAAAGAGAAAGGGTTTGTTTTAACCCATAGTTTTGGGCCAAAGCCAATTTGCCCTTTTACTTTGGGCCGGTGGTAACATATTGGCAGGAGTGTGTGCAGAGTAAAAGATCCTCATGGTTGTGATCTGAGTATCTTTGTACCCATAGGAAAAGATGAAACCAGTGCATTAATTTCCCCCAGAAGTCCTAACTTAAATGTTGCTCATAACAAAGTCAGCTACACATGATTTCCTCCCGACCAGTCATCAAAATACAGACCAGATTTCCTTTGTGCCCAATGTGTATGTTGACAAAGAAAAACAAGACAGTCCTTTCTGTGACAATAGAAGATTAGGTTGACTAAAGTATGACAACGTTAAGGCAAGTGTACACTATCCTGACACAATTTACTCAGCCTTTCTGATTTAAACAACTCGTGATGCACCTGGGTGGCTGAGGCAGGAGGGTAGCCACCAGTTCCAAGCTACACTGAGTTACATAGGGAACTCTGTGTCAACCTGACTACTATGCACCCGTCTAAATAATTTTGTATTGTGTAGATGCACATATAGGAAAGTGGAAAACTCTTAAGTGTACAATTTGCTAAGTGTACAATTTGTGGCCTGTGGCCACAGAGCTTTTTAAATTCCTCTACATTTAGCCTTTGAGCCTTGGGAAGGCCCTTGCAAGAAGGCCATGAAGATAGGTTCCAGAGCCACAGGAATGATTATGTCCCCATTCTACTCTCTTATTAGCTCTAGGACTCTGATTTATTCTCTATACTTCTCTACAGAATGACCTGAAACTTTCTACCTCAGCCAGGCTAACCTTGAACTGGTTTTCCTCTTGTCTCGGGCACCCAAGAGCCAGGATTGTGGGTATGCATCACTACCACTGCCTTCTACTTCTTACAAGTTTTGTAGTCAAGGAAATAATATTCATGAAATTCATAATCCATTATCTGAACTAAAGCAAGGGTGGAAAGAAATACTTCCATTATGTCACAACTGCCTCTACCATGTCCTCAGACCCAGAGTAGATGGGTGATTTCTACTTGGCAGGCCAACTCTAAGATGGCTCTTTCTGATCCCCATATCTTGGTGCTCATGCCCTCTGCAGGATTGTGACTTGCTTCTCACCAGCAGAACACAGCAGAAGAGAAATCACTTTTGTGATATGGTAAGTTTATTTCTGTCTTACTAGAAGCTCTCTACTGCCTTCTCAGTTTGTACTCTTTGAAGCAAGCTACTTTTTAAAAGATTTTCTTAAATGTACATTGGGATTTTGTCTGCATGTATGTCTGTGGGAGGATGCTAGATCCCCTGGACCTGGAGTTACAGACAGGTGTGAGCTGCCATGTGGGTGCTGGGAATTAAACCTAGGTTCTTTGGAAGAACAGCCGGTGCTCCTAACCACTGAGTCACCTCTCCATCCCTATGCCTAGAATCTTTTTCTTTTTCCTTTTGGACTTTTCGAGACAGGGTTTCTCTGTATTGCTTTGAAGGCTGTCCTGGAGCTCACTCTATAGACCAGGCTGGCCTCAAACTCACAGAGATCCACCTGCCTCTGCCTCCCGAGAGTTGGGATTAAAGGCATGTGCCACCACTGCCTGACTCTGTACTTAGATTCTTTTTTTTTTTTTTTTTTTTGGTTTTTTCAAGACAGGGTTTCTCTGTGGCTTTGGAGGCTGTCCTGGAATTCCCTTGGTAGTCCAGGCTGGTCTCAAACTCACAGAGATCCGCCTGCCTCTGCCTCCTGAGTGCTGGGATTAAAGGCGTGCGCCACCAACGCCCGGCTATACTTAGATTCTTAACCCACAGAAAGTGTGGGCTGTGTTGTTCTAAGTCACAAAATCTAGGAGAATTTGTTACATAGTGAAATATAACAGATTAGCAAAGCTATCTCATCCCATTTCTGGTTTAAAGCCCACCTTCCCACTTCAGTGAGTTGACATCTATTGCCCACCTTCCCACTTCAGTGAGTTAACATCTATTGCCCACCTTCCCACTTCAGTGAGTTAACATCTATTGCCCACCTTCCCACTTCAGTGAGTTAACATCTATTGCCCACCTTCCCACTTCAGTGAGTTAACATCTATTTCATTACTTCATAGCTGTTCGTTTTCTTGTTTCTTCTACAGTGGGAGCTCGTCCATGGCATAGCCCTGGCTGGCCTGGAATTCTCAAATCATTCTTCAGTCTCTCAAGTGCTAGTATTACAGGCTGCACCACCACTGGCAGCAGATGAATGCTATCAACTAGTTTTCTGTGACATTCTTTTTCCATTTTTAAATTTATTTTACATACCACCAGTATCTCATCCCTCCTCTCCTCCAGCTCCCTACCCCGCCTGTGATGATTCTTAGCCAGGCTAGTGAGCCATTAACTCTGCATCCACTGAGACATTTCTGTGGAAAAATTGGATCCTGCTTTTAAGATAGCTTTACTCAGCCTTTCAGATTTAAACAACCCGTGATGCTGGTGGTACCCTTTTAATCCCAGCACCTGGGTGGCTGAGGCAGGAGGGTAGCCACCAGTTCCAAGCTACACTGAGTTTCATAGGGAACTCTGTGTCAACCTGACTACTATGCACCCGTCTAAATAATTTTGTATTGTCTAGATGCACATATAGGAAAGTGGGAAACTCTTTTTTTGTTTTGTTTTTCGAGACAGGGTTTTTCTGTATTGCAATGGAGGCTGTGCTAGAACTCGCTCTGTAGACCAGGCCTTGAACTCAGAGATCTGCCTGCCTCTGCCTCCCCAGTGCTCGAGTGCTGGCATTAAAGGCGTGTGCCACCACTGCCAGCAAGTGGGAAAATCTTAAGTGTACAATTTGCTAAGTCTTCCTAAGTAAATCCATGTGTGTATCGCCACCACCGAGATGAAGACCTCCATCTTCATTTGTGGGTCCTTCTGCAAGGACCGGAGAAGTAACCAGCATCAAAATCCTCTACTACTGCCGGGCGTTGGTGGCGCACGCCTTTAATCCCAGCACTTGGGAGGTAGAGGCAGGCGGATCTCTGTGAGTTCGAGGCCAGCCTGGTCTACAAGAGCAAGTTCCAGGACAGTCCCCAAAGCCACAGAGAAACCCTGTCTCGAAAAAAAAACCAAAAAAAAAAAAATCCTCTACTAATTGTTACTGTTTGTTGGTGGTGTTGTTTTAGAACATTCAATAAGTGGAACCCCACCCTACACTAGCTTAACTTCTCCCGCTCTCTTAATAACATCACGTTTGTGATTTTGATTAATCAAAACTTCTCTGGATTAAATTTGTAAAACGGCAACTGAAGCAGTGGGAGTTTGGGATTCTGAGAGTTTCCCAAATTGGAATGAATGCCTTAACCCAAAGGTGGCCACCAAGAGGGAAAAGCCGCAGGGACAAGTCCCAGTGCCTCCACGGGGCATCCTCCACGACCGTTGGCTCCGGGGGAGGGACCGTGCTGAGCAGGGCAGGGCTTCCTGTCTGCGCCTGCGGAATCGCCGTTTGACCCCGGAAGTGTTGACTCTGTGGAAGCTGTCACCGTGTACGGCGGCTGCTCGTCGCGGGTGTGGAACGGGAGGTGAGTGCATGCCTGGTCCCACCGGTGGAGCTCGGTAGGAGTCAGGGCCGAGCTTCGGGCACCCTCGGCACCCCAGCTCATGGACTTCACGGTGGGGCCAGGCTTACACTGCCCCGGGGACCGTGAGTCACCAAGAGAACCGGAGCCTGGGGTTCCGGCTTGATTTAAGGCTTGGTCCTAGAGTGACCTGGGACGAACCCCAGTGCCCACCTCCTCTTCCTAAGCTACAGACTCCCGTGTGCCCGGTGCATACCTAGGCGCCGGGGATACAATCAGCAAGACAGACAAGGGTCTTGTGCTCGTGCAACTTACAGTCTAGAGGAAGGAGACAGTCAACAAGTAAATGCATAAAGCAAGTAAAGACGTGGCAATGAGTAACAAGGAAAGAGATTATTTCAGGGAAGGTTTCTAAATAGAGTGATGTTGACCCGAGACCAGCAAAGTGATGGACGACAGAGAAACTGAGGCAGCAGTAAGTAGCCCTGGAGATGCTCACTGGCCATATAACAGTTGTTAATTGTACCAAGCCCCTTCCCTGAAAACTCTTTCTTAAATTTTGGCCTTTGTTGTCTGCCCAGAATAGGAGGTATATGGTGCACAGCTTTCCTGATTTTTTTTTTTGTTTCTTTATTTTCTACCCATACTTTAGTGAAAACCCAAATCCTCTCTGATGCCTTCCTCCTGTAACTCATTTTCTTTGTTAAATGCTTCATGGACCTTGCATATTGGGCAAACATCATGACACTCATTACATGTATGGCAATTGACTTTGTATGTGTTGTTCCCATGAAGACTGAGCTTAGTGAATGGCACCACCAGCTCCATTCCACGATTCAAGCAATACACGTGTCCTTCCTGAGAATCAGGCCAAATGGTGTTATAAAAGGGAACACAGAAGAGCTGGTCTGCTAGTCTGTTTGTGTGAACTGTGCTCACATATATGTGAGTGTACTTGTGTGGAGTTAGAGATTAACTTCAGGAGTTGGAGTTGTTCCTCAGAAGTCATCCACTTTTTTTTTTTTTTTTTTTTTGAGACAGAGTCTCTTAATGGCCTGGAGCTTTCCTAGTGGACTATGCTGACTGACTAAGGAAGCTTTCACCTTCTGCTCTCTCAATGCTGAGGTTACAAGCATATACCATCACATCCCACTGTTTGTATGTGGTTCTGGGAAATGAACTCAGATTCTCATGCTTGTGCATGAGACAACGCTGACTGAGCTATCTCCAAGTCCACTTTGTGACTATTTCATTATTTTATTTTTGTTTGAGGTTGAACCCAGGGACTCGTATGTGGTAAGTGCAAATTCTATCACTGAGCTGTTCCCAGCTGACCGACTACTGGCTTTGGCCCCTCTGTGGAAGGGATCATGTGTTGGCAGATTTCTATGTATTTTCTCTTCCTTCTGTTAAGTTTTTCATGCCCTCCTCTAAAGCCTGGAGAAGTTGTTAAGTCTTAGCACACTCTACAAATGAGGAAAAGTCCATTGTCCCAACCCCAGAAAGATCTAAGGTCTCGTGAGAATTGAGAAGAGTATTCTTGTTCTGAAGAATGTAGCTCAAAGGCAGAGCTAATCTAGCACTCGTGATGAATTCTCTCCTGACCAGAGCAGAGGAAATTTCTCCTTATACTCATCAAACATTTGGTGAGGCCTGTGCTGGTTATAGGAAAGATATCAAGAAAAAGAACTGTGGGTGGTGTCTTCAGCGTGAGGCCCTCGGTTCCATCCCAGCGCTATAAAAACAAAAACAGAAAAACAGTTTAGGTACTTTCAGCTAGGACTTTCTTATAATGGGTAGGAATTATCTGAAAAGTATTTTCCTTCAGAGCTGAGAACTATTTTAGGCAAAAATCATCTTGTTAGGTCAGAATATGCATAGCAGGTCTTGAAAGCCCACATTAGGAATTCGCTGTGGCCAGGGGTTGATGCTGGTGCTGGGGTCAGTCCCGGAGTAGACCCTGCCTCTAGGAGTCAGTGTGTCTGCACTCTTCTTCCCATCCATATTCCTTTTAGGAGGGTCACACAGCACAATGTCAGCTTTGCCCCTGGACCAACTCCAGATCACCCACAAAGACCTGAAGACAGGAAAGCCGAGGACTTCGCCAGCACTGGTGAGCCAATGTCTTGATGCTATTCAGCCTGATAGGAATCAGCCTTGCAATTTCAGAAACTAAAAGTAAAGTCCTTCTCTTCTGTTCCAGGAATGACCCTAGGGCCAATGGCTACTGTTGAGTAGTTGAGGCACTGCTAGGCCCTTGCAAGCCTAGTATAGAACTTAGTTTCTGAGAAGCAGTGCAAATTTGAGTAGTAGTTTCCATGTCAAGTCCCCTCCCCAAAGCATTTAATTTCCAGTCAGTCTGAAGGCAGTTCTGACTTAGCCTGAGCTAAGCTAGAAATGGTTCCAAGTCCTAGTTTGGTGATTGGCCTTTGAGGGGGGACTTAAGGTTTCATGTAGAAATACATATGTTTAAATCTAATATACATATACGTGTGTATATGTTTAAGCTAAGCTGCTGCTCATACTTCTGTTGGGTCACTGATTTCAGAGACTGGGACAGTCTTTCTTATTTGGACTAGAGTGCGACATACATAGCCTCTGGCAGGGCCTGTGAGACCAAAAACTGAGGAGACTGTGGACCTGCCAGTTCCAGCCTCAGAGAGAGATAAGAGCCCTGGGGAGGTGCTAAAGGAAGAGACCCTCTTGTAGATTTCCCACAAATATAAACCTAATTGCGCAAGGTGGAAAGAAGCACTTCTGGAGGCTGGAGGAAAGTTGTGGGAAATGGGTGCTAAGTGTTTTATTTCCTGCATTTTGGTTGGCTTTTATTATTTCCTATTCAGTCTCTAATATTAGAATTTAACATGTGCAGAGTACCTCATGCCAGCCAAGCCATTCTAAACAAGTTATCCAGATTAACTTTTCTTCTTTCCCTCCTGATTTTTGTTTGTTTGTTTGTTTTACGAGACAGGGTTTCTCTGTATTGTTTTGGAGGCTGTCGGTCCAGCCTGTCCTCAAACTCACAGAGATCTGCCTGCCTCTGCCTCCCAAGTGCTAGGATTAAAGGCGTTCGCCACCATCGCCCGGCTCCCTCCTGATTTTTAACTAGTTCTTTGAGAATTTTGTGTAGATTCGTCCCCCATTCCTCACCCAGCTAACTTTGTGTCCTCTTGTTTTGTGAAGCCTATCAAGTCTGGTTGATGCTACCCCATATGCTCTTGGATGTGTGGTCTTTCTTGAAAGACGCTCAACCCACCAGCGACTGTGCCCTTAGAGAGAACTGATTTAACTTTCCATCAGCTATCAGTTACCAGCAGTTCATAGCTAAGGATGGGACTTCGTGCCCTCCTCCCCAGTTTATCTCATTTAAGATGCATCACAGCCCAGTGAATGGATGCTTTCATTGTCACTATTTTACAGAGTTCAAGGTTACAAAACTGGGAAACCAGGAGAGCTAGAACTGTATGTATTGTTCAGTTGCAGTAGCCATCTATTAGGAAGCATGTGCCTGTGTCTAGTGCTTGAAATGTGGACTCTGGAACAGGGTTTTTCTTTTTCTTTTTTTTTCCCCTTCGAGACAGGGTTTTTATGTGTAGCCCTGGCTGTCCTGGAACTCTCTCTATAGATCAGGCTGGCCTCAAACTTGGAGATCTGCCTGCCTCTGTCTCCCAAGTGCTGGAACTAAAGGCATTCACCATCATGCCCAACTCAGAACAGGAATTTTAATTAATCAAATGAAATTCCATCATGTGATATGCCTGCTGTGTTGTTTAGGCAGATGATGCAGTTCCACTGTCACAGAATGTTCTGTTGGACAGTGCTGGTGGAGACTTGAGTGGCGACCTCAGTCCTTTCCCATGTGCTGAATGAACACTTGGGTTGTTAGTTGTGAGAACTGGGAGAGCAGAGGTCTGGTCCCTTTCACAACTGGCTTCTTGGTGACTAGCACACGGTGAGCTCTCTGGAAACATTCCTTAAGTCAGAAACCACAATCAGACCTAGTGCTTAATGCTAGAGCTACAAAGAGAAAATGTGTAGCTCTGCCCTTGGGTCCACAGCATAGGACCAGTAGCTTTAACAGTATGGTGACACGGTAGGATGGAGGGCAGGTTCTGGCAGAGTCTATTCAGATCACAGGTTTGGAGTGCAGGGATGGAAGTAGGAGGGATATGCAGAAAGGGATGGCTTCCTGGAGGACAGAGATCCTGAACTGGGTGTTGAAAGATGAATTAGCTCTATCTGGACAAAGCAGGAGGAGAAGGAAGGCTCTGGCTGGAGAACTCAGAAATGCTTGAGGGAGCCTGACTCTTAGATCAAGCACACATCCCTTTGGGGGGCACTATAACAGAGCTAATAATGAGCACAGGCTCTGGACATATTTGGCAAGTTATTTAACCTCACTAGGTCTCTGGATCCCAAAAAGATAATAATGGACCAGGCATGGTGGGGTGGCTGTGAGTTGGTGCTCTGCCTGGAACAGAGCAGGCACTCAATACATTACAGTTGTGACGGTGATGACAAGTAGCAGCTGTGACATTGAATGGGGCTAGGGTGGGGACAAGGACTAGCTCAAAGACAATTGCCTAGCTGAAGACAGGTCTTGTTGTTCATACTGAAGAACATTAAGCTCCTGAAATTGTCCTGAGATTTGCATAGTGTTTTGTCTTTTGTGTCTCAGTATAGGGCTCTAGGAGCAGTCATTACAGTGTCTCTGCAGAGTGATAGGTGGAGCTTATTGGTGTCTATTGAGTAGCTACTATTCAAGGAGCATGCACTTGAAAAACCTGTAAGAACTAGTGTTGGACCCTTAGGCCATTCTTTGATGGACAGTAAGAAAATGAGTTCCTGTGAAGATACATAGAGACTTGAAGGCGTGAGTACTTTCCTAGTTTTCCAGAGCAGATGGGCCCTAAGCTAGTCTTATTGAAAGGTGGGATTAAACTTGGGTTGGAGAGACACACTGGGAGCCTGCTGCTCTCCTGCTCTGAAACCATGTATGGCTACTTATTTTGGAGTAGAGTTCCCTCCTACAAAGCTTGTCATTTTAAGCCCTTCAGAGGCAGGATCTGGCCATTCATTCCTTGTGGCATGTCCTCTCAATGTCAAGCACAGTGGAAATATCATTGAAAGACAGTAAACTGCACATTTAAAGTCAACAATTTGAGCCGGGTGTTGGTGGCGCACGTCTTTAATCCCAGCACTCGGGAGGCAGAGGCAGGCGGATCTCTGTGAGTTCGAGGCCAGCCTGGTCTACAGAGCGAGTTCCAGGAAAGCCTCCAAAGCCACAGAGAAACCCTGTCTCGAAAAAAAAAAAAAAGTTAACAATTTGATTGTTTTCTACCTTGGTAATATACCAATGAAACCATCACCAATGGTCAAGACAGTGGACATTTTTACCTTCTCTGAAAGTCCCCTGTGAACTTCTATAATCCGTTTCTTTCTCCCTGTACCCAACAACAAGTTATGCAGTTTATCAAGTGCCTCAGCTGCCGTTAGGAAAGTTCCTGGACCTTACTAAGTCTTTGTTTTCTCTTCTGACAGGCAAGAATACTGTCTCTGTTTAGCTAATTGCTTGATTAAAAAAAAGAGAGAGAGAAATAGGGAGTTTGACATACCTGTTCCACAGCTGGCATAGCATGGGTCCTCAAAATGTGATAGATTTATTGCCATCATTCGGCCACCCTCTAAACCTATTGTCCAGTTTCCAGCTCTGCCTTTCCACAGTGGTGGTACATTCCTTTAATCCCAGAGGCAGGGTTCAAGGCCAGCCTGGTCTACAGAGCGAGTTCTAGGACAGGCTTCATATTACAGAGAAACCTTGTCTTGAAAAACCAAAATAAGTAAGTAAGTAAGTATAAGTAAGTAAGTAAATGAATTCAATTCCAGAGACAGGCAAATCTCTATTATATAAAGTCAGAGCCCAGCCTAGTCTGCGATAGAAAATTCCAGGCTGCCAGGGCTATATAGGGAGAAAGAAAGAGCACGGGTGGGAGGGGGAGGGGCAGGGGAAGGGAGAGAAAGGTACCTTTCCTCCACTTAAAAAGTCCTTTTCCTCCTGCTAGGCTCACTTTAGGTACTGCCTCACCGGAGAAGCGTCCCTTTTCCAGGGACCACTAATTCCTTCTTGTGCTCCTATGACCCTTCAGGCCTAAATTGTCACTTCACCTGTTTAGGGCCACCTTGATGGCTTAGATGTGCATCTTCCCCTGTGGAATGTGAACCTTGAGACTTGGAGACGATTTGAGACTTTGAGCTAAGACCTTCAGCACATAGATACTTTTATTCTTGTGTCCCAACACTGTAGTGACCCTGTACAGAGTGTCAGCAGGTCAAGGAGGAAGGAAGCTTGGAATGCAAGGAGATAAGCTCTCTTTTCAAGAGATTAGTGGCTGAAAGCCATCACTATATAAGTGGGACTTTGATGGGAGAGCGTCCCACAGACCTGTATGCTAAATGACTGCAATGGATCCTTATGGAACCTGCATACTTCTGCAAAGGCCCACAAGGTTCTTAAGGAGACTGGTCCATCAGTCTTGATTGTTCTAGAGCTGGCTCTGGAAGTGGGAGGTTGTGCTTGATAACAGCTGAGGCCTGGCCCTCCTCCTGTTACAACTTCCCCGGAGAAAGCCGCTCTCAGCTCTCATGTAGACTGGGGTGGAAACTGAGCCACTGAGCCCATCCACTCTTCATTATGGTGAACAAAGTGGGGTTTGTTCATGGCAAGGTTAGGGCTGGGAGAGAGAACTTGTGACTCTAAGCTGAGATCTGCAGCTATTTGATTAGAATCTTTACAAAAAAATTAGTAGAGGTGTTTTGTTTTGTTTTTAGTTATGTAAAAGGAAATAGTGATATATAGAGTATAATGCTGTTTATATCAGAAAGGAAAAACAAACTCAAACAAATAATTGATACACATACACTATATTCTAATGTAAAAACAAATGGTCAGTGCTTTCCCCTGGGAAGTTGTGGAGACTAGGAATGTGCTTCCCCTCTTCCTTCTCTCTTCTTTTCTCCCTCCCCACCCCTACCACGCTGGGGATTGACCCCAGGACCTCACATACACATTCTGCCACTGAGCTATATCCTCAGTCCATAGTAAAAAAAAAGATGTTTATCCCTTACTTGGATAATTAAATATTAATTTAAAAAATACATACTCAGTTTTAAAAATGGGAAAATAAGGTCAAACATGGTAGTTACACCTTTATTCCAGTATTTGGGAGGCAGAGACAGGCAGATCTCTAAGTTTGAGGCCAGCTAGTCTACATAGTGAGCCCTTGTCTCAAGAAAAAAATACTAAAAAATATGTTGAAGCCATAATTCCCTAGCCCCAAGAGAGCCAGTATAAATTTTGGGGATTGCCCCCCTTTTAAAAAATAATTTATTCATTTTTATTTTATGTGCATTGGTGTTTTGCCTGCATGTATGTCTATGTGAGGATGCCAGATCCCATGGAACTGGAGTTACAGACAGTTGTGAGCTGCAATGTGGGTGCTGGGAATTGAACCTGGGTCCTCTGGGAAAGTAGCCAGTGCTCTTAACCACTGAGACATCTCTCCAGCCCCCCGCCCCGCCCCTTCCTTTTTAAAAACCTGTATCAATATGCAAATACATAGACTTTAAAAAAACATTCCAAACCTGATTATATTGGAGTTTTGTGTCCTTTCTCTTCTAAAAATTCTCCAAAACCATGTTTTTTAACCGTCACCTGGGCTCCCTGGGTGGGTGCCACCATGGCACCTTTGTTAGACGCACTGGGTTCTTTATGCTTACAAGCTTCTTGGAGGGTCTCTGGTTGGAACAGCCAAGTACTGTCATTGCTGTGGGTTGGCAAGTGGGCCCTCGCTGACTAACCTCTGCCACGTTAACACGTGATTTTTGGATCCGTAGCACCCTGAGCAGAAGGCAGACCGGTATTTTGTGTTATACAAACCGCCCCCTAAAGACAACATCCCCGCCCTAGTGGAGGAGTACCTGGAACGCGCCACCTTCGTAGCCAATGACCTCGACTGGCTCCTGGCCTTGCCTCACGATAAATTCTGGTGCCAGGTAACATTCTATCAAAATTCACACTAAGACAAAGCACATGACATGTCCTTGGTTGGTTGCTGTTTTTCTCTCCCCTAGGAGTTGCTTTTTTGTCTGCTTTCCTTGGATCTTTAACAGCAAATAGTGGTTTGGATTGCTGTCTCATATTGCAACCTCCCTGATGTTTATACACTGTCATTTTAAGAAACTTGTATCTTGCCTGGGCTCATTCATAACTCCTTGATTCCTTGGGTTGGAGTGTTTGCAATACGTCAGGGCTGATGGGCCTTGTGCACCTGTTTAGTCTACCTAAGGAGTCAATCCTTGCTTTCCTCTCTCCTGGCATAGGTTGTTTTTGATGAAACCCTGCAGAAGTGCCTGGACTCCTACCTACGCTATGTACCCCGAAAGTTTGATGAGTGGGTGGCCCCGACCCCTGAGGTTGCTGACATGCAGAAGCACCTACACCGAAGCATTTTCCTCACCTTCCTTCGAATGTCCACTCACAAGGAATCCAAAGTAAGCTTCTGATCCCGTATCGAGTCTCCATTTGACACCCAGCACCTCTGCCGGGCTCTACCCATGGGATAGAAGGATCTGAGTGTCCGTTTTCCTCTTTGTCTCCTTCGTTATTCCCACTTATTTCCCTTCTCCACCCACCAGCCTATCCACAGCACACTCCCCAGGGCCTTGTCACAGTTGGCAGTGCCTTTGTTCACGTGACAGAAGGTAATGACATTGATTCTGACTTTTTGAAGAACTCATATGCGTACTTTTTTTTTTAGGATTTGTTTATTCATGTATTTTATGTATATGAGTGCTTTGTTTTCTTGAATACCAGAAGAATAAATCTGATCCCATTATAGACGATTTTGAGCCACCATGTGGTTGCTGGGAATTGAACTCAGAACCTCTGAAAAAGCAGTTGAGTACTCTAAACCACTGAGCCATCTCTCCGGCCCTCATATGTTTACTTTTTAAAATATTTTATTTGTAATTAGTTTATATATGTGTCTATTTCTCCATGTATGTATATGTGACTCAGGTCATCAGACTTGTTGGCAAGTGCCTTTACATACTGAGCCATCTCACCAGCCTTCAAAGTTACTACTGTTAATGTGCATGGTCCTTCATGGAATCTAAAAAATCTTTCTAAATATTTGTTTTGTGAGGAATAGTGGCACATACCTTTAATCCCAGTAACTCAGGAAGCAGAGGCTGGCAGATTTCTTCAAGTTTAAGTCCAACCTGGTCTACTTAGTGAAACCCAGCTTTAAAAAAAGATATTATTTATTTATTTATTTATTTATTTATTTTTTGGTTTTTATGAGACAGGGTTTCTCCATATTGTTTTGGAGGCTGTTGGTCCAGCCTGGCCTCGAACTCACAGCGATCCGCCTGCCTCTGCCTCCCAAGTGCTGGGATTAAAGGCGTGCACCACCGAAAAAGATATATTTTATTATTATTATTGTAAATATTATTATTTTGGTTTTTCGAGACAGGATTTCTTTGTGTAGCCCTGGCTGTCCTGGAACTTAATTTCTAGACTAGGGTGACCTCGACCTCCTACCTCTGCCTCCTGAGTGCTGGGATTAAAGATGTGTACCACCACCCAGCTCTGAATACTGATTTTTTACAGGCATTCACCAACAAACCCAATGGATATTATTTTTTAAGCTACATTTTCGTTATAATTAAATTTCAAATATATGCGTATACTTGAGTGAAAGTTTCATGTATACAGAACAATGAATCAATCCCATGTCCTCTTAACACCTCTTGTGTACTTACCAATGTTTTGTATATCTCGTTTAATCTCTCTTGAGTTTGCTTATTTTGTTGAACTGTTTTTATGTAACCATAGACACTGGCTGATTTGCCCATAGATGCTTAAAAACAAGCCCCTGCTGACTCTTTCTTGGTATTTCTGTTTTTGTTTACATGAAAATGCAGAGCCACCATGATTCTTGGTCTTTTCATAAAGCTCAGACATATGTACAGTATAGGCATGGGAGCATTGATCAGCCTGTCCCCAGCTGATGAGCATCAAGGTGGTTTCTTAAGAGTCTGCTATTGCAGAGTATGCACACTCAGCCTCCATCCTCTCTGCACTTTCCTTAGGACCACTTCATCTCTCCATCTGCATTTGGAGAGATTCTCTACAATAACTTCCTCTTTGACATCCCAAAGATCCTGGACCTCTGTGTGCTCTTTGGGAAAGGAAATTCACCACTGCTCCAGAAAATGATAGGTACGTAGGGTGTAGGACCTGGGGGTGTACAGGGATGGCCACCACATGCCAAACCAGAGGTCACAGGAGCACAGGAATATTAGAGGCAGGTGGTGCTGGGATACAGATGTTTTATATATGTCTCTGTGTGTGTGTGTGTGTGTGTGTGTGTGTGTGTGTGTGTGTGTGTGTGTGTGTAACACACACATAGATGTATCAACTCTGAAATAAATGACTGGGGAGTCGAAAGAAAATTAAAACAGTGTGCCAGGTATTGCCTCAAGAACCTGCAAGTCTGCTGGGTGGTGCATAACCACAATCCCAGCACTCAGGAGGTGGAGGCAAGAGGGTTGTGACTTTGAGGCCATACTGGCTACTAAATAGGGACCTGTCTCAAAGCAACAGCCAAAAACGGAGTGTCTGGATTTCTTAGTGTTAGGACAGGTGTCCGTCAGTGGTAGGAATGAGCAATTTGCCTTGGCAATGAAAGTCAGATTGCAACGACATTAGCCTTCATTGGAATGTGGCCTGGGCTCTGTCATGACATGCGTGTCCTGTTTGTTATTCCACTGGATGTACACAGGAGCTGTCTGAGATCAGTGTTGCCATTGTTCCCATTTATAGATGAAAGACTGGGGTTGAACTATGTGGGACTTGTCTGAAAGCCTGTAGTGATCAGGTAGCCAAGCAGGAACTCACGAGTTAGAAAGAATTGACCCTGGGACTCTCGCTCTTTCTGCTCCCTGCTTCAGGGATAATGAGGCTGCCTCCAAAATAGCAGGTATATGCAGCATTGCTGAGAGCAGATGGGGACATAGTTTGGAGACTCTGTGATTGTGAAAAGAGTAAACACTAAGTTGGATTTCTTAATGCAGAAGTGGGATATAGGTTCACTCAGAAATGCAAGAGGTGGGGGTTTTTGCAGAAGGTATGTCTTAGTTCATTTGAGCACTCCTGTCAACCTTCCTCATTCTCAGACTGTAGAGCGTAGTCTTCTAAATATCTGGTTGCAAAACTGGGTAGCACTTGGGGAGCCTGAGGTAAGAGCCTCACGAATTCAAGTCCAGCATGTACCACCACCGCCCAGTCTTACATGTGAAATTTTACACCTGACATTTTCGTTGAAACTCTCTGGTTTCTTGTTTTGAGTCTTAATTATTGTCTGAGTATAGGTTAATTTTGTATTTTCCCAGAGGGACACCTTTCATAAATTCACTATAGACTTAGAGGATGGGGTGAATAAGCAACAGAAAACAGTTAAGTTAGGGAAATAGTTCGCAGGCCAGGTTAGACTGGAAGGTTACAGAGAGCAGCAGCAGGAGCCTGAGGAGTGAGATTGCCCACTGGGGAAGATGGCAGGTCCCCCACTGAATACCCCGTCTCACACCCAGCTCTCTTTTTGTGTATATCAGCTTCACCAAGTCAGTGAGCCTTTCTAAGTCTCAATTTTAGACTAAGGGAAAGACTGGTGGTCTACCTTCTTTGGGTTGTTGTGGAATTAATCAGAAAAAGTGAACAGTAACATAACACTAGGTCTGGAAGGATACAGGCACTCGGCAAGTGTGAGCTCTTGTTGATGCTGCGGAGCCTCCAGGAGCTTGGAGCAGGAGGTCAGTCTCTTAGGGCAGAGTGCTCCTGGGGGAGGTGGAACAGTAGGCAATTGAAAAGAGCACAGCATCATAGGTGAAAGTGAGTACAGAGAGGGACATTTGGGACGCGGAGCAGAGCCCAGAGAAACCTTAACAGCTCTGGAGAGGAGGGGGGGGCAAAAGAGTAGTGTGGGGAAAAACGGACTTCAGGACCTAGTGGTGAAAGTTGTGAGTTAGAAGCAAGAACACCTTTGAATGTGTTGGTTCAAGATTGCAGTGAGAGGTTGCTGGGAGATAAAATGGCAAGGGCAGACCAAGAAAGCTCTGCCTGCTGCCCTAGGCTTTAGTCATTTGGTGACATTTTCTGAATTAAGGTTCTCTCTTTGCAAATTATATCTACTTTGGTTTTTAGAGACAGGATTTCTCTGTGTAGTCCTGGCTGTCCTGGATCTTACTCTGTAAACCAGGCTGGACTTGAACTCTGAGATCTACCTGCCTCTGCCTCCCTAGCACTGGGATCAAAGTTGGGTGCCACCACCACCACAAGGGTTATTTGTTTGTTTGTTGTTTTGTTTTGTTTTGTTTTTACTAATGATATGAAGCCCAGGCTGGAACTGCTAACCTTCTGCCTCACAAGTGCTAAGATTACAGATGTAGCCAACATGCCTGGGTTGTTTTTTGGTTTTTGGTTTTTTTTGAGATTGTTTCTTAATATGTAGCCCAGATCAGCCTGGAAGTTGCTACATAGCCCAGGCTTCCCAAATGCTGGGGTGTTAGGTGCACACCACTGTGCCTGGTTCCACATACTTTTAAACCACCAGGTTGAGGATTCTAAACCGACTTATTAAAGAGAGCCTCTCTTTTGGCTCCTAGAAGGTGGTTGATTCAAAGGAGCTTGTGTATGTGCACGTGCGTGCGTGCGTGTGCGTGTGCACGCGCTCGTGTGTGCATTCATGAGTATGTGTGGTGGCAGATGTAGAGAAGGAGCCTACAGAGATTCCCTCCCACCTCAGAGCAGCTCTCTTTTAATTCCTTCTTTTTTTTTCTTTTGGTTTTTGGAGACAGGGTTTCTCTGTAGCTTTGGAGGCTGTCCTGGAACTCGCTCTGTAGACCAGGCTGGCTTCGAACTCACAGAGATCTGCCTGCCTCTGCCTCCCGAGTGCTGGGATTAAAGACGTGTGCCACCAACGCCCGGCTCTCTTTTAATTTTTAAGTAGAAGGCCCAAGGGCAGCCTCCACTTCCAATACACAAAGTCTCTCGGGCAAAGTATTACTTGTAAGAAGACTGATGAGGAAGAAAAGCTGCGAGGGTGAGCTACCCTGTGGGTACAAGCACAGGCCTGACTCTAGCCTTCTTAATAAACGGCAAGGTTGGCATTGGGATCAGATATCAGCTTTTGAAAGCAGGGCTCATCAGTCAGCCTTTCTTGAGCACATCAGGAGAAAGTGAGGTCGTTGGTCTTTCGTAGGTTAGTGGTCTTTATGGCAGTGTATCCTGCTCACCGTGGGCTTGTCTGGGAAGAGGAGGGAGCTCAGAGAACACTATTGCCTGTTCCTTACCTTTGTGGTATTTCTTAAGACAAATTGGTTTATCTTACTTAGTTTTTTCTATGTGTGGGTGCTTTGCCTGCATCTGTTCATGTGCATGCAGTGTCTGCAAAGGGCAGAAGGGGGCATTAGATCCCCTAGCACTAGAGTTACACCATATGGGTTCTGAGAATCTAACCCAGGTCCTCTGGAAGAGCAATCAGAGCTCTTAACCGATGAACCATCTCTCCAGCCCCAAGATCATATTTGTTTATATTTTATATGTGTAGGTGTTTTGCCTCCACATATATATGTGCACTCTGTGTGTGCCTGACACCCATGGAGGCAAGAAGAGGGCATCTGGTCCCCTGGAACTAGAGTTGCAGATGGTTTTGAGCCACCATTTGGATCCTGGGAACTGAAGCTGAATCCTCTGCAATAGCAGCCAGTGCTCTTAACTGTGGAGTCACCCCTCTGGGCTTGTTTTGGGTTTAGTTTTGGTTGGGGGGGTTGTGTTTTTTTGTGTTTTGTTCAGTTTTTTGTTGTTGTTGCTATTGTTTTGTTTTTTAATTAAAAGCAAAGGAGATCGTTGTTGTTATTGCAATCAGATAAAGAAGAAAAGAGACTCTGAAGACCTTAAGAATAGATTGTGAAATTTGAGCTACATTTCCAGGCTTAGTGGCACACACCTTTAATCCTAGCACTCTGGAGGCTGAGGCAGGTGGATCTCTGAATTTGAGGCCAGCCTGGTCTACAAAGAGACTTCCAGGACAGTCAGGACTGTTATACAGAGAAACCTTGTCTCAAAAAATAAATGATAAAATTTGAGTTATCTTGATGCATGCCAATAAATAAATAAATAAAATCTATTTCTGGCAAGCAATGAGGGGATGTTCTGGGTGGTCAGGGTGGTAAGAGGAATATGCCATGCCTCTGGAAGTGCCTATGTCAGAATACTACCTGAGAAGGTGACACGTGTCTTATGGTGGAGCTCTGGGAGGTCATTTCAGGCAGAAGGAAGGGACAGGGCTTGTTATCTGAGGTTAAGGATAGTTCAGAGGAGGGCTCCATTGCAGGGATTGGAAGCAGGGTGACCTAGGATGCCAGCAGGGGCTAGATTTCTCAGGGCTTTATATCATAGGAGGATCAGGACAGGAGGAGCAAGGAGCAAAGGTTGGTGGAGGGGCTGGCTTAGATATTCCCTGCACTATGGAGGAGGAGAGTATAGAGATGGTCCGGGCACACCTTCATAGATTACAGTGCCAGCATCCATGGGAGGTAGGAGCCCTGAGCTAAGAGGAACTCAGCTTTTTTGGAACCAAGGTGTAAATAAATACCATCCTGGACTGTGCCGATGAAAAGCCCAGTTACTTGCTTACTCATTAGCCTTACCTGGCATTTGATTTCCTTCATGTTGGAGTAGGGCTGCAGAGTGGTCCAGATTGTATGTTCTGGGCCTTGTACACAGTGCAGGAGAGAAATAGATAGAGAGAGGCAGAGAGAAAAACTTCTTTCTCCCCAGATAGTTTCTTTGTCCTACTCTTGGCCATACCCTTTGAATCCACCCTTTACCCTGCTCAAACAATACTAAAATCTAAACATTGTCTGGCACTTACATAAAAACCAAACCTCTGCTAAGTGGTGGTGGTGTGCTCCTTTAATCCCAGCAGTTGGGGTGCAGAGGCAGGTGGATCTTTAAGTTTGAGGCCAATCTGGTTTACAGAGTGAGTTCCAGGACAGCTAGTGACGTTACACAGAGAAACTCTGTCTCAAAACAACAGCAAAAACTAGACCTCCACTGAAGCAGGGGCACTCAAAGCTGACTACCAGCATGAGAGGCAAAAGTTACAGTGAGATGAGGCATCTAAGGACATTGGCATTTCTCATCATCGTGTCCCCGCTACCATATGCTCTAAGCACACCATGCAGCAGCAGGTAGAGAGTAGTAAACATCGGAGATGGGCTCCATCTGAACGAAACAACTATAGATGTGTGCCCATTCATCTCTGTGTGTGGCTTCTGCCTTCTGTTTGCAGAAGGGTGGATTGAGATGGTAGAACGTTCAAATCAAAGACTTCCGGACATTTTTCCCTGGCATCTCCTCACACTTTTGAGGTGTGACTTGGCAAGACTCTTGAGTTATTGTAGGTTTGTTGAATAAAGGAATTATAGTTCCCAATTTTCCTGGATAATGCAACTCCCAGTTCCACAATGCTGTCATAGGAGGCATGGCGCCCAAGTTTGGTCACTCCCTAGGGATATCAGGACTAGCTGGTTTGACCAGGGCTGTTCTTTGTTTTATGTGATTCAGAGTACTTAAAAAGTTAAATTGTACTGAATAACTTCCTCTCAGCGCTGGGAGGGTTCTCAATGAGGACAAAGCTCAGTGCCAGCTGGGCCTGAGACAAGACTCATCCTAGATTCTCCCCACAGACAGGCTTACAGAAAGGAGAACGGTCATAGAGCATGCTGATAATCAAATTTAATATGTCCTCTTCATCCGTCCTGACCTCTCCCCACTTCTTCCTTTCTCTTCTCTTTTTAGGAAACATATTTACCCAGCAGCCAAGTTATTATAATGACCTGGATGAAACCATTCCCACCATACTTCAGGTACCATCTCTTATCCCCTGCCCAAGGTAGAGACAAGTCTTTGGCCTTTTCTTGAAGAACCTGGAGAAATGTTTGCTTTTCACTCCTTTTCCAGACACATCCTGAAGTGTGGCACAGTGATAGAACACTTACCTAACATGTGCAAAACCCCAGACTTGATTCCTAGCAGGAGAGAGGGGAGAAGGAGAGGAGGGGGAAAGAGAACTCATCTCCCAGGTTTTCTCTTGTAATTACACGCCTTGTAATTCACCCCTTGCTCTTCTTGAATAAGACTGAAATCTAAAGATTATCTGGCACTCACATACAAGGATTTGATTTGCATTTTATGTCATTTCTCTAAAAGTTACTTCTTTCGGAACAGTGAAGGTTTATAAAAACCATTTCATGAAAGAATAATGTGTATTGTAGAAAATATGAGGAATGGGGACTAAAGAGATGGTTTAGCAGTTAAGAACACTGACTTTTAGCCGGGCGTTGGTGGCGCACGCCTTTAATCCCAGCACTCGGGAGGCAGAGGCAGGCGGATCTCTGTGAGTTCGAGGCCAGCCTGGTCTACAAAGTGAGTTCCAGGACAGCCTCCAAAGCTACAGAGAAACCCTGTCTCGAAGAAAAAAAAAAAAAAGAACACTGACTTTTCTTCCAGAGGACCTGGATTCAATTCCCAGCACCCACACGGCAGCTTATAACTCTCCGTAGTTATACATACATGCAGGCAAAACACCAATGTACATAAAATAAAAATAAATAAATATTTTTTTAAAAGAAAATATGAAGAATGTAAAGGCTGACAAGAGTTGGGCTTGGTGGCTCATGTCTGTAATCCCAGCTCTTGGGGGGCTAAGGGAGGAAATAGTCTTGAGTTTGAGGCCTATCTAAGCTATATAGTAAATAAGACCCTGTCTCAAAAAAATACAAAAAAAAATCATAAATAATATTATTCTTCCATAATCCACTGTAAAGAGATCCCTACACATACATCTGTTTAAAGTAACTTTTGGAGTATTTACATGGTAGACTTTAACAATAAAAAGGCAGCACTCAGGAGGCAAAGGCAGGAGGATCCCTGTGGGTTGGAGACCAACTGGTCTACATAGTAAATTCCAGGCCAGCTAAGGCTATATAGGAAGACCCTGCCTAAAAAACAAAAATAAAATTTTAATTATGAAAATAAAGATATGCCCTAGAAAGATGGCTTAGTAGATAAAGGTGCCTACCACCAAGTCTGAGGACCTGATTTTGATCTCCAGAACCTACATAGTGGAAGGAGATAATGGGTTCCCACAGTTGTTCCCTAACTTTCACATATCCTACCTACATGAGACCCTATTCAAAATAACAAACAAAACATATACATACACATATGTATAAAATCATCCTATAAGTAGTCATCTACAGAAGAGCCTAAACATTTCTTAAATGTTGCTGAAGGTAATTCTTATATACTATCATATATTGTTGAGTCTATCAGGTCAAGTTAGAGATACGGAATTCTTGGGGCTTTATATTATATGCATGCTGTATGTGTGGTTACTAAAGATGGAATTCAGGGTCTTGTTTTATTTTATTTTTTTCTTTTAGGCAGGGACTCACTATGTAGCCTTGGCAGGCCTGGAACTGGCCATGTAGACCAGGCTGGCTTTGAACTCACAGAAATCCACCTACCTCTGTCTTCTGAGACCTGGGATTAAAGATGTGCAATACCATAGCTGGCCTGGAAGCCAGGGTCTTCCATATACTTGGCCTGCACACTATCAGCCCTACAGGGGTTGCATTTAATCCTATTGACCATCCCACACTGGATGGTCTGTCCCTAGATTCCAAGTCAGTTCTTGGGTCTCCTGTCCCTGTGGTGGGGTAAGGATCCTAGGTGCTTGTTCAGGATGTGGAAGAGAACCCTTTTTGCCTTTCTTAGGTCTTCAGCAATATCCTACAGCACTGTGGCTTGCAAGGGGATGGGACCAGCACCACACCCCAGAAACTTGGGGAGAAGGGTCGGTTGACACCCAGTGACATGCCTCTCTTGGTAAGGTTGACCCTCAGCCCAGCTTCTTCTGGCTAGGACCCTTCAGCCTGGCTGAGAAGATGGCCAATGCTACAGGACACAGTCGTTTCTTCCCCTGCCTTTGACCTCTTCGTTTGATGTAACCTGTTTCTGCCTGCCCTGTGCGTTAGGCTTTTTCCTCCCTGGGAAACCTTTGTGGAGTACAAGAAGGGACACTAGGATTTGAGAACTGGGTCTGCTCCTCACTTAGTTTTGCTCATCAGGCCCACTCCTTGAGCCAGTCATTGATTCCTTGAGTCTACACGGAGGGACTATGTGCCAGGTCCTATGCTGAGCCCGGGGGATAAAGCAGCAAACATGGTGCCCATCTCACGGCGCTCAGAACGCTAATGAGGATGACATACCAAAAGTGACTAGGAACCTGGGTGCTGTGCTAAGTAAAGCTCTACTGACAGCTGGGATGTGGCAGCTGGGAGCTCCCTTCTTGGCATTTTCCATCTGGTGGCAAAATATCCATCGAGCAAGTGTTGGAGAGGAGTACAGGCCAGGAGCTGTGGGAGCAACCCGAGCATCTTAGCACTCTGAGCCTCAGTTTCCTTATCTGTAACATGAAGCCACCCAGCCTGCTCCTTCAAGTTTGATGAGAATCAGCAGAGCAGATGAGCAAACACCTGTGTTCTATGTACCCTCTTCAAAATGCCAGCAAAGGGTGGGCTTGCTGCTCCTGTCTCTCCAGGCTGGGTGGGCCATCTCTCTCAGCAGTGTTCAGATCCAGGGTTCATTTTCCTGCAGCACAGGAGAGAGACTGTCAGGATTACAGGTGACCTTAGCCATCAATGAGTGTAGGCCACTCAGCTGCAGTGGCAAACCTGAGACAAGATGATTACATGGCCCAGGTTGCCCTCCTAGGGATGACCGTTCAGCTGTCTCTGGAGCCTCAATTTCCCTGTTCCTGCCTACTGTGGACTCTGGCTTTGTCAGGTATGATTCAGGCCCTCTGCAGAGCTTGAAAATAATACCATGTCTTTTCTTGACAACAGGAATTAAAGGACATTGTCCTCTACCTATGTGATACCTGCACCACACTCTGGGCCTTTCTGGATATCTTCCCTTTGGCCTGCCAAACCTTCCAGAAACATGACTTTTGTTACAGGTACATTGGGACTTCTGCCTGTTAAAGTAGGGGTCTGGTCCATGCATCACACAGACACATAATGACTTGGTCCTTAGAATATACCAGTCCAGGGGCAGGAGAGATGGCCCAGTGGTTAAGAGCAGTGGCTACTGTAACAGAGGACCTGGGTTCAATTCCCAGCACCCACATGGCAGCTCACAGCTGTCTATACCTCTAACTCCAGAGGATCTGACACCTTCACACAGATATACATTCAAGCAAAACACCAATGCACATAAAATTAAAATAGAGAAATCATTAAAAGAAAAAGAATCTACCAGTCCATCTTCTAGCCTGGAAACACACAATGAGGAACACAGATAAAACTCATGCCGAGAGGAACGCTCCCGATTTTGGTTACGAATAAGACAAGGGAGGGGGAAAACCCACATAAAGAAGATGACAGTTTTAAGCCTGCCTTGTTTTGTGTGCCTTATGGAGCACAGTGACAGTCAGTGGGAACTAGCACAATGAGGAGGCGTCAGAGGTGTTCCTTCTTGGTTCATGGGTATGCAGGAGGAAGATTTCTAAAAACAGCCTTGGATACTGAGCAAAAAGCTGGACACGCTGGCTGTTCCTTCATCCCAGCTCCTCAGAAGGTTAAGGCAAGAGTGCCACTCGAGCTCCAGGATTTGAGGCTAGCCTAGTCAGCATAACTAGATGTGGTTTCAGAATCTATGGAGAAGAAAAGGGATCAGAATGTTTTAGATGGGAGTTGGCAATAATAAAGAAACGAGGGTCCACTGTTGGATGCCAGAGCGTGAAGAGTGGAGGAACCCTGGCAGGAGTGGCCTCTTTATTCTGTAGGTAGTGGAAACCATTGGGAGTCCTTATGAAGCTTGTGCTAAGATGGAGAAGAACTCACAGGAACTTATGGCAAAGAGGGAGACTGCTCAGTTAGCATCATGACATCTTTCTGTACATTGAGAAGGTGGGGAGCACAGTCTTGGGCATTCCCAGGCTGGTGTGAAAGGACCCAGCAGCCTGCGCATTGCCTGGCAACAAAAAGTACTGGCCCATTCCCAGTGGCCTGTAACTGTTGCTCTTGCCAGGCATCTCTCCCAACCATTTGCAGCAGCGTCTGGGAGCTGCCCAATCCCATTTGCCCACCCATCTATCTGCCCATTCTGTCATTTACTCACCCCTTCAGCAAAACATTTATCTAGCTCTGACATGTGCCAGAGATGGCTGCTGGTCCTCTGACTCCTCTGTGGTCTCCTCTGTTTGTGAGAGTCAGACATTAGAGTTGATCAGCTTTTCGGGGATCATTATGGGATAGGACTGTATTTGCCCACTTTAGGGGGGGAAGGTATTTCAATATGATAAAAGAGCATGTGGGAATGTAGAAAAGATAGAAAGCCAGGAACTGAAATCACTCTTAGGAATTACACTGCTCTTGGCATTTTATACTGTGCCTGTTTGCATTTTTCTCATTTTGTCCAAGCTCTCCCAGTAAGCACAGATGGCCTCTGAGGGAGGAAGCTTTGGAAGATTTTTTCCTGCAAGAGACGTGGAAGCAGAAGAGTCCCCACTCATCTTGGAGTATGGGGAAGAAAGGGTTGCACTTTGGAAGTGACTCTGCCTTTGACTCACGTTTAACCTGCAGCTGGCCCAGCCTGTTCCAGCCTGTGCTGAAAGCTAGAAAATCCTTTGCTAGCTGCACCCACACACGTACGCAAGCCCAGTTCCCGCAGCTCTGGGTTGGGGTCACGTGGCCCTCTCAGAACAGCTTCCTCCACTTTCCTTTCCCATCCACTCATCCAGTATGCAGCTTATGCTCCTGAGTCATGAGTCAGTAGTACTTTCACTTTGACAGAGCTCAAAGGGTGTAAAATAGCGACTGGAGAGATGGCTCAGTAATTACGAGCAGGTTCTTTCTTCCAAAGGAGAGAGTTTATTTCCCAGCACCCATGTCTGAGGCTCGCAACTCTCTATAACACCAGCTCCAGGTCTTCTGGCCTCTGTGGGTACACACACTCACACACACACACACACGTAACTTGTATAAAAACGTAAAATATATGATGAAATGTCTCCCACCCCCTCTTACAGTTCTTTTCCTCACATGTCAACACTGTCATAGTTTGGGTGGGACTTTCCAGAGATATGCAATATAGGAAAATATGCACATTATACATTCGAAGGGATGGCAATGGAACCAGGGCTTTATAAATGCTCAGTAGGAACTCTACCTCTGAGCCATAGTCTCAACTCCATTCCCCCTTTTAAAACTTGAAAGCTGGGGCTGGGGGAGGAGGCTCAGGGTCTTCAGAGTGACTGGGCAGTACTGTGCATCTGGCATACTGGACACCAGAGAGGTTTTGTTTTTTGTGGCTTTTTCAGTTATTTGCTATTTCAAAATAAATAACATTGTACACACATCACTTTGTACCTTTGCAAGCATATTTGAGGATTAATTCCTAGAAGTAGAAATTCAGGGACAGATGGTATGTGCATCTTTAATTCTCACATATCTTGCCAAATCACCTTCCATGGGAGTTGTTCCGGTTTATCCACCAACAACACAGCCTGGCAAGTGTTGAATCAGCTTGGGCCAAACTGCCCTCTCTGGCCTCTGCTGATGCTGTGTCTAGTAGGTCCTGTTCCTTTTGGCTTAGCTATTCCTGCCACGTGCCGTGCTGCAGTGAGACAGACATTGCAGAAAGGCAGCCAAAGGATGGGCATGTGCTTACAGAGCACCTGCAAGCACTATCAGCACCACACCAGGCACTGAAGTACACCTCTGACTCGGGGAAAAGTAGCAGCTGCTCGGCCAGTTATCAGGGCAGCATGTTCAGTGTGCAGGAAGTACACAGGGGGAAGGTGGGCCTGGAATGGTGCAGGCTTTGAGGACAGGGAGAGGAAGAGATGCGGAGGAAAAGGACAGCTGCTTCCCTGTGTCGTTCACCTATTATCGTCTAAAACTCCGGGGCTCAGGCATCCCTGCCTCTGCCTCCCAAGTAGCTGGAAGTATAGTCATATGTAACTGTGCTGAAACTCATAATATATGTGTATTGAGAATATTTTAGGTTTATTTGTGTATTTTGCCTGCATGCATGTATGTGTATAGCATGTGCATGCCTAAAGACTGTGGAATTCAGAAGAGGGCGGCAGATCCCCTGGATCTGGAGTTACAGATGGTTGTGAGTCACCGTGTGGGTGTTAGGACCCACACCCAAGTTCTCTGGAAGAGCAACAAGTGTTCTTACCCACCAAATCACCTCTCCAACCCCGTGTGTGTGTATAACTTTTAATTCTTTTGCTATTGAGACAGGGTCTTGCTGTATGGTCCTGGCTGGCTTACAACTTGCTATCCTCCTGCCTCAGCTTCCCAAATGCTAGAAATACAAGCATGGACCACCACATCTAGTTTATAACCTTTTATTAAGAGTTGTAGAAAATAGTCTGGAAAGATGGCTCAGTGGTTAAGGTCCTAAGTTCAATTCCCAGCACTCATATCATACAGCTCACAACCATCTATAACTCCAGCTGCAAGAGACAGCACCTTTTTCTGGCTTCTGTGGGCTTCTGTACTCATGTCTATATATCAACTGCCAGACAGACACACGGACATAATTAAAATCTTTTGATATTGTCACATGTAAATCATTTGTAGAGATACCAGATCATGCAAAAAAAAAGTCTTTATATTTTAGAACCAAAGTGAGAAAGATTATTGGTAACTAGGCATTTTGGGCTCCTAGAACTGGCAAATTTGGAGTAAGAGGATTGTCTGTTTCATAAACCGAGGGAGTCTTGTGTAGACCTCTGGGCACTTTGGTAGAATAGACACAGCTGTGGTCACTTTCCATGATGGAGCAGCACAGTACATCATTCTGGGGTAGGCTCAGGAAAGCCCCTGGGTAGTCCCAGAAAATAGGTATAGGATGGGATGGAGACAGTGGGTTGATTCAGTAAAGCAAAGTGAGGCCCCCAGTTTGATCTCTTCAGAACCCATGTAAAACTGTCGGGTGTGGTGTTTCTCAGTGCAGTATCAGTACTAGGACGACAGAAACAGAGACCCTGGCCCTCTGACCAGTCAGCCTATCCTGATGGTGAGCATCAGGACTGCTTTCCTGAGACTAACACTGAAGTTAGCCTGTGGCTTCCACATACACAAGAGCATACACATTCTGGATTTATGGGAGAAAGAAATGAACCTTTCTGCTCCTTTGAGTTGGCTTTCGTTGTCCACCAAAATGTGGTATTTATGAATAATCTGGTTTTTTCCCATGTTTGTTTCTGCAGACTAGCTTCCTTTTATGAAATGGCAATTCCTGAAATGGAGTCTGCAATTAAGAAGAGGAGGCTTGAAGACAGCAAGTGAGTCAGGGACAAAACTAAGAATGTTGTGTGGGAAAGGGAAGCCTGAGCACAGGCTGTAGCATCCTCAGAGCAAAGGGGGGTACGGGACACGACACCAAGGACTGTGGTAGCCTGGGCTCCTGGACCTGCACTTGGTGGTCTTCTAGTGCTGGTGTGTGTGTGTGTGTGTGTGTGTGTGTGTGTGTGTGTGTGTGTGTGTGTGTGTGTGAGTGAGTGTGAGTGTGTGTCTGTGTGTGTGAGTGTGAGTGTGTGTCTGTGTGTGTCTGTGTGTGTCTGTGTGTGTGTGTCTGTGTGTGTCTGTGTGTGTGTGTGTGTGTGTGTCTGTGTGTGTGTGTCTCCTGGGGCTTGAATTTTACTTTTTATTTTGTGTGCTGGAAATTGAACCCTCGGCCTTGTGCATGCTGAGCACACCTCAGACCTTAAAGATTGTTTTGTTTGTGTGTGTTTGTGGGGGTGGGGGTGGGGTTCAAGACAGGATTTCTCTGGGTAGCCCTAGCTGTCCTTTAACTCTGTAGACCATGCTGGCCTCAAACTCACAGAGATCCTCCTGCCTCTGCCTCCAGAGTGCTGAAATTAAAGACAGTCACCACTGCCACCCAATGAAGATTGTTTTTTTAAATACATGCTTTGTAAGGACCTAAAGAGAAATAATTTGGGTTTGTGGTCTGTCGTTTGCTGCAGAGATTTATTGTTTACTTCCTTGTTTTTCGAGACAGGGTTTCTCTGTGGCTTTGGAGGCTGTCCTGGAACTAGCTCTGGAGACCAGGGTGGCCTCGAACTCATAGAGATCCACCTGCCTCTGCCTCCTGAGTGCTGGGATTAAAGGCATGCGCCACCAATGCCCGGCTGTTTACTTGCTTTTTAAAAAATATTTATTTAGCCCTTTGAGAATTTCATACAATATATTTTGATCTTATTTTCCCTTCTCCCAACTCTTCCCAGATTCACTTCTCCTTCTCTACCTACCCAACTTTCTCCTCTTTGTGTTTCTTTTCTTTCTTTCTTTCTTTCCTTCTTTCTTTCTTTCTTTCTTTCCTTCTCTTTCTTTTTTTTTTCTTAACATATCAAATCTGTGCTGCCCATATACTCTTGAATATGTGGCCTTCCTCTGTGGTGTGCTCAACCTACCAGGGACCATGCCTTTAAAGAAAACGTACTCATTCTCTCCCAATAGCTATCGGTTGCCAACAGCTCCTCAGCTGGGGAGGGCTTTGTGCCCGCCCTCCCGTCCGTGCTGGGATTTGGTCTGCTTTGCGTTTGTCACAACTGCTGAGTTCACGTGTGCAGCTGTCCTGCTGTGTCCTGAAAACACTCTTCTCTCATAGCCACCCACAGCCTCTGTCTCTTACGATCTTTCCACCCTTCTTCTGCAATGGCCCCTGACCTTGGGAGAAGGGTTTGATATAGATGTGCCATTTGGGACTTAGCACTCTGTGGTCTGTCGTTTGCTGCACATTGACCAGTTAGTCTACGTTGGTCACCATATGCTGCACAAGTAGAGATTCAAATAGTAATTGTACACTGGTTTGCTACAGGCCACCTAGTGAGAATTGTCTGAGAGTCCTTCTTGACTGCTGAATCCATTAATTCAGTGTCTCCCAAATCCTGGCAGACAATAGCTGGTACCTGCATGTAAGCTCAGCTGTTGCTTCAAGCTCTTGGTAACTGAACTTGCTGTTCCTGGCCCTCTGTTTAACTGAGAAAGTGGTCTGGAGTCAGCTGGCTACCCAGTATTTGTAGCCTTTTGTCAGCTGCTCCCATCAGTGACCTTTACGACTACCTCGGCTGTGCGCAAGCACCTGCAATTGCTAGGAAGAAGTTCCCATGGTTCCTTTCATCTCATACGTCTACTTCTCTTCTCTCTGGCCACCAAAGGCTGCTAGGTGACATGTGGCAGAGGCTCTCCCATTCTAAGAAAAAGCTAATGGAGGTGTTTCACACCATCCTGAACCAGATCTGCCTCCTTCCTATTCTAGAGAGCAGGTAAGCTTTAAGGAGCCTCTACACACAGCAGGCGCTTCTTATCACTCCTCACTCCTTCCTTCCTCTCTGCCAAACATACTGGGAAACCCAGAAAAATGCCTTTCTCCAACTGGCCAGACTGCAGAGGGGTAGGGTGAGCATTCAAGGACCTGCAAGTCACCGTACATTGCATGAGCTCATCTTCCCTCATGTCCTATCCTAGTTGTGACAACATTCAAGGCTTCATTGAAGAATTCCTTCAGATCTTCAGCTGCTTGCTGCAGGAAAAGAGGTGCGTGGGGCTGAGCAGGGACCAGCTATGGGACAGACCCATGTCCCACTCTCCAGTCCCAAGAGACCGTGCACAGTGGAGCCACTAATATATACTTTCATGGAATGAGGGTTCTGGAGCCTGTGGTTGGGTAGCAGACATGGGGTGACCTGCCAGAGTACATGTTCCTATGGTCCCAACCCTGACCCTCCTTTCTGTGCTCTACCCTGCAGATTCCTCCGGGACTATGACTCATTCTTCCCTGTAGCTGAAGACATCAGCCTGCTACAGCAGGCTTCATCAGCCTTGTATCCTACACAGCTCACTGGGCCAAGACCTGACTAGGTCAGACATGGCATGCTGGTGCCCAGAGGGGCGGAAGGCAACCCCAGAACACTCACATCAAGAGTCCAGCAAGGCCCCCGTTGCCTTTTTCTAGAAGTGACAACTGCTCCAATGCATGCGGCAAGGGAAAGCCTGCTCTCTTTAGATCTGGGTCTGTGTGTTCAAGTTGTACTCTAGAAACCTGCACCCCATTGTAGATGATGGGGAGAATGTGTCACATGAGAAGAAGTAGGACTACACCTCAGATAGCAGAACTGGGGGTGGGCACCGAAGAGGATTCCCAAGCCAAAATAGAAAAGAAAAGGCGGCCTGGTCAAGACTTAGGTTGAGAACAAGAGCTCCCAGGGGTTGGGAGGACAAAGAGAACTAGCTCTTGAGGAGTCCTCCAATCATGTGACTGTGTATATGGCAGTGGGCAGGAGTGTGTGGTGGGGATGTGACAGGTGAGCTGGGGTTGACCAACATTCAAGGCCCTTGAGTGACGCTTATGAAGAAGAAGTGTAGCCTGTATGCTGCAGGTGCTGATGCTCTGGAGAGGCTCCATTTGCCTTTGGGAGGAGAATGACTGACCTGGGACCACCAGAGGCAGGGATGGCTGCTACAGGCCTCCTTGCATGGGTCATGAGGGTTTGAAATAAGAGTAGAGAGAGGGTGTGGAGCAACTCAGATTTCTAGCCCAGTGTCCAGAGTGACAGAGCGACAGGAAGGCTAGGGAGGAGCTGGCCTTTGTGCCATTTCTGTTGCTGGGTCAGGTTCAGTCCTGCCTCAGGGACCCCCATGGGCCCTTAGCCTTTTCAGAATACCCTCAGTTTGGTGGACAGGAAGTCCAGTGAAAGTACTGTTGGCCCTCCTGAATACCAGAGCAAAAGAGTAGGCTGTCAGCTCATCTAAAAGTCTGGGGCACTGATGGCTATCCCCAGCTCTGTCTGCCCAGAGCCGCTCTACTGAGCAGCAGGTGCTAGGGTCTGGCATGCTGTTCCATGTGACACTCACTGGGCAGGCCAGCAGGCCCTTGGGAAAAGTCATATGGTCAGATGCTGCACAGGGAGGGCCTGAGAAATCAGACTACCCAGAGCTGGGAAGCTGGGTCCTAAGCAAGACAGCCCTTAACCTTGCTTCAAGGGATGAGACCCGGACAGCCTACATCCTGCAGGCTGTGGAAAGTGCATGGGAAGGGGTGGACAGACAGAAAATCAAGGACATTAAAGACCCATCAGGGGCCAAGGATGCTAACAATGGAGTCACAGTGACAGTGAAGCCAGTCAGTGAAATGCCGTCGTCACAGCTGGAGAACTCAGAGGAAGATGAGGAGGTGCGTATCTGGGAGCTCCTGTCCCTGACCCCTGATTCCTTAGCCTTCCTGGCCACCTCTTGAGAGATAAGCAAGTGGCCAAGCTCCCCTCTTTGGGAAAAGAGTCTGTTGGGATTGGTAGCATCCAGCATTGGGGCTGCTTGTAGTACCTGGATGTAGAAGAGAACAGAGCTCTTGAGCTCTTGAACTTGGTCTCTGTATGTATGTATGTATGTATGTATGTATGTATGTATGTATGTATGTACGTACGTACGTACATACGTACGTGTCTGTCTGTCTGTCTATCTATCTATCTTACTCAATGATCCAGGTTAGTTTTGAGCTCACAACAATCCTCCTGTCTTTATCTCCAACTGCTGGGATTTCAGGCATGAAATCCTCTGTTTCTCTGTGTAAAATGCCTGTGGACTCTTTCCCCAGCCCCCACCCCAAACTGGGCAAGGTGGAGCTCCTTTGCTGCAGCTAAGCTTGCGCCTGACCCACCTCTCAGGAATCACAGGGCTCCACTGAACATGGTGGAAGCCCTGGACCTGGTGCTTCCTCTCCCTGCTTTTCCAAGGTCAGCTAAGCCTGTATGGAAGGGCCATGGAGCCCAGGACTCGTCCCTGTGTGGGGCAAGCGTGGAGACTACACCGTCTCAGGGCTGGTTGCTGCATGGTAACCTGGTCTGCTGTGTGTGACGTGTCTCCTGTGTTGAGTGTGGTTGTCCCTCTGTGCACAGGGATAGGTGCAGTGCCTGCTTCCGTGAGGTAGCTGGGGTCCCTGGGCTTGTGGACACTTGATTCTAGCTGTTCCTCAATACTCAGTAGCACATGCTGCTGCTGTTCCTGCTGTTAGACTCTGAGCCTCTCTTCCCTTTGAGCAGCGTCTCTGAGCTGTGGATGTCTTTGTTGTCGCTGTGATGATGTTTTAGTGTTGGGATTGAACCAGGCCTTGCTGGTGCCATGCAAGCGTTCTACTAAGCTATATCTCCAGCCCTTTATTGTTTTTATCTGCCCATCCTTAAAAGCACTATACAATGAAGCCACATTGGGCAGTATATGAAATGAAGTTTCCTTACTGAAAAGAATGTCACTTAAGGGACATGTCTACATGGTCGCACTGGTAGTTGCTATTGTCCTTTAAAGACGGTCACCTTAGTAGAGTTGGGCAAGGACCTTGACCACTAATACATGACTATCTATGGAGGCCCTCCTGCATACCAGGTACTCTTCTTTATGGGTAATGTGCATCTCTTCATTGAATCATTTGAAATTACCCATGAGATCAATGCTACCTTATCCATTTCATAAGGAGAGAACAGTTCAGAGAGGACATACAGTGCTCCAAATCACATAGGCAGGGCATAATCACCTAGGAAGTCATAGAGCCCCTCTTTTCCCAAATGAAAAAATTAGGGGCTCAAATTTAAGTTACTTGGCAAAGGTTCTACAGCTAGGAGGGACAAGGTCAGGACCCTGGTGACAAATGCAGCGCTGTTTGGAGATTCACCCTTTCACTTGGCAGCCTGGTCTTTCCTCCATCGCTGTGGCTTGCATTGCAGTGCATGGGTGCAGCAGCTGCCCTGGGCCCGACTGTGTGTGGGGTGGAACTGGACTCACTCATCTCCCAAGTGAAAGACCTGCTGCCAGACCTTGGGGAGGGCTTCATCCTGGCCTGCCTGGAGCACTACAGCTACGATTCAGAGCAGGTGATCAACAACATCCTGGAGGATCGTCTGGCCCCCGAACTCAGCAAGCTGGACCGCAGCCTAGAAAGGTGAGAGAGAGATGGAAAGAAGTCCTCAAGGCAAGGTCTCCTTTCCCTGCCTCTCACTCTCTCCCCTAGACTGGGGGCACAGTTGCTCCTTTGCCACAGAGTGATTCAGCAGTTTGAACTAGTGCCTTCTTCAGAGACAGCCAGCTTGAGGCCTGTAAGGTTCTCAGCACACAGCTGGCTGTCCGTGCAGGGCCTTGTAGGAAGACTATAAAGACTAGCAGGGTGGTAAAGGGCGTGGCACGCACCCCCAGTCCAGATGTGCCTCACTCTTAGCACATTCCCAGTTTCTGAGTTAGGACAGCCACCCACTTTCTCTGCACGAGCCTCACGGGTTTGTCCCACTGCTGTTCTGAAAGCCTCAGGAGACAGCAGGTGCAAGGACACAAGTGGATGCTTCTTCCATGAACAAATGATGTTTGCCAAGTGAATGAATGAAGTTAGCTTTGTCCCTTTGGACACATTCCTCAACCTGCTTGTGTTCCATTTTACAGATGGCAGTGCTAAGACACAGAAGGTAGATTAGGAGCTGAGGGTGGAGTTCAGTGGTGGAGTGTGGGCCTAGCTTGTGTGAGGTTGTGTATTACATTCCTGTACCAAAGCAAACACAGCTGCTCTTCACCACCACCCCCAAACAGAGGTTGAGCGACCTATAACTCCCTGTCTCAAAGGCCATTGTGGACCTGTGAGAAACACAAAACGGTATGCATGGCACACGGGGAATGAGGGTAAGGTGTGGCTGTGGACTCTTGATAGGGGCCAAGTTAAGTAAAGCCCAATTGACGGCTCCCCCATTAAAGGACTTAACTTACGTCCTAGGCATGGCTTTGGAATGAAGTGGACGGTGTGATGGGAAAACACAGTGGGGTTTGGGACACAAGTAGATGTCAACCAGCAGGGCTCTTTCAGTTGATTTCTGTGTTGTGGTCCCCAGACAAGTGAAGCCGGACCCTACACCCCTGCTGACATCTCGTCACAACGTCTTCCAGAACGATGAGTTTGATGTGTTCAGCAGGGACTCAGTGGACCTGAGCCGAGTGCACAAAGGCAGGAGGTGAGTTTCGGAGGACACAGGTTCTGCAGTCCAGTTCTGGAGATACGGAGAGAAAGCAGAGGTCCTTGATGACGGATGCTTTACCTCCATGTATGTGTGTGCACCGTGTGCGTGCCAGGTGGTCACAGAGGCACCCAGGCTGGGGGTTGGTGGCCCATGCCTTTAATCCCAGCACTTGGGAGGCAGAGGCAGGTGGATCTCTGTGAGTTCGCGGCCAGCCTGGTGTACAGAGTGAGTTCCAGGACAGCCTCCAAAACAATACAGAGAAACCCTGTCTTGAAAAACCAAAAAACAACAACAACAACAAAAACCATAGAGGTACCCAGAAAAGTGCCTGGGACTAGAGTTACAGACAGTTGTGAGCTGCCATGTGGAACCAAACCTGGGTCCTCAGTAAGAGCAGCCAGGTCTCCAGCCCCTCAGGGCCCTCTGAAGCAGCCTTGTGCACTGGCAGCCTGTAAGAACAGTGTCTTCAACAGTGTGCTTCAAGTCCAGCTTTGTGTGGGCGGCTGTTAGTGCCACCTTGTAAGTGGTAAAGGCCAGAGGGCCAAACCAGTCCCCTTGACCCTCCTGTTACGTCTTTCCATGTGTGGACTGGTGTAGAACTAGCCAGTGCTTCCTAGAAGCCACTTTTTGCCCTGATTGTCCCCAGGCTGCGACACACAAAACAAGAAAATTAAGTATGAGTAAATTTTTTCCAAAGATGAAAGAATTCTGTTTTAAGGCTTTCTTTTTAGTTTCTCTTCTTCCTACTTTCTTAGCATTGTGATCCACTCATGACCTAGTCATTCATTCAACAAATGTTTGTCTGGTGCTTATTGTCCTGTGTTAATTTAGTACTGGAGCTGTAGTGGGAAGTAAAGCAGACACTGCCTACATCCATGTGAAATTTGCATTATTCAGCTCATCAAACAGGCACAACAGTGGGCATTCTCCTGGGCCCTTGCTAGGGCCATCAGCCTAGACAGGAAGACTCCCCTGAGAAAGTGACAGCGAGCTGAAGGATGTGTAGGGCGGCTCTGCAGAGCAGGGAGGAAACGTCCCAAGCTGAGTTAGCAAAAACAACAGTGGCTTCAAGGCGAGGGTGAGTGTGAACCCGGAAATCCAGGGACTCTGTTCAAGTGCAGCCTGTGCTCTCCCCATCATAATAGTTGGGACAAGAGGGTCTAGAAAGGGAGGAGCCTGTCAGTCTTGTAGCCTTGTTCTGGTAAGAGCCCCGAGCAGAAACATCAGTGGCTGTTTCAGTTAGGGCTCAGGGCTGCTCCCCTTCCCCGGGGCTGTGTGCTGCCGGAAGCCTGAGGGCTGAGGGCTCAGCAGGCGCAGGGCAACTCTGAAGCCATCTGGCTGACTGCACAGGAAGCCTTGGCACACTGCTTCATCAGTCAAATTGTGACATCCCGGGCACAGCTGTCATTCCTGTTGGTGGCTGCTGTTGGGGAGGGCCAAACAGGGCCCCCAGGCCAGCAGAAGGCACAGGGAGTCTGACTGATAAGTCCCTCCACAGAGCTTAGCCTCTCTGGACACGGTTTCCCCTTGACATTCATTCACCTGTAGATTCACCTAGGTCACTCCTCATCCCTACCCAATTGGAGGGCTCAGCCGTCAGGGTCATCAGAAGGGCTAAAGCAGCCAGGTGTCCTGAAGGCTATGTCCCACTCTGCTGGGCAGCCCAGGGCAAGGACTGTAAAGAGGTAAAGCCTTCATTCATGGTTCAGTATTTATCCACTCAGCAAATATTTATTAAGTGCTTTACTAGCATGAGAGCCTGTTTGAGGCACCCGGAAAACAAGGTGAACAGGGTACCCTGGCTTTGCCCATAAAGGGCAGAGCCCGTGGGAAAGACAGATCATCAAATAAGCAGGTGCACCAGGGGCACCTGCCTCGTCAGGGCATGGGAGAAGGGCAGAAGGGCCCTGCCCTCAGGTAGCAGTGGAGAGTTACGTAGCACAAAGCAGATCACACCTGTGTACATGTGCGCCGAATCTGAGGAACGTGCTTGGCAGCTCTGGTAACAAGTAGGGTTTGCTCTTCCTTTACACGCAGAGCTACAGGGGCAGAGTGGGGCTTGGTTATCCTGTGGTTTTTATTTGGTTACAAGCACAAGATGGGTCTTTTTTGTCTTCTGGGACCCTGGCTTAGGGGTTCCTAGAGGACTGTGGAGGCTTCAGCTGTTTGAACTCTGGCTAATAGACACCATAACACCAAAGTCCAGATGGGGTATTCTTGCCTCTACTATCTTGTGTTTATTTTTTGTCTGTTTTGGTTTTTGGTAGGGACCCAACCCAGGGCCTTGCGCATGCCCGGCCAAGCGTTCTTCCAGTACCCCAGCGCCACTACCCTGGCTCCTGTCTCTGCATAGAGAATAACAAAACTTGTCCAGAAGCTTCCATGTTTTTCTCATGTGTCATCAACAAACTGGGCCAGACTTTGGGCTCTAATATGAAGGACAGAACTAGAAGAATCTGAACCTGAGTCTGAGCTAGGCCTGGCTCACACAATCTCAGCACATGGGAGGTTTAGAGCTTGAGGCCAACCTGGGCTATGTCATGAGATCCTGTTTCAAAATAGTAAAAAGGAAAAAAAGTGAAATCTGTTAGGAGAGTACCCAGACTAGGAGGGTAGCTGTGGTTGAACACCAAGCACCTGTGTATACAACATGTGGTCCTTTATAGAACCCTGAAGATAATATGAGTTCCCTCTCCACAGAGGTTCTGTGACCAGGTATGTGTGTTTTGTCTGCCTCCTGGAGAATCACAGAGGACACCAGCATGTAAGCCTGACAGACAGAAGAAACAGAATTCATTTTTGAGCCCAGCAATGCTGGTTCATGGCTTGTATCTTTTATGTCTTTTATCCCCCTTTGGTTTTGTTGTTTGCTTTGTTTTGAGCCAGAGTTTAGTGTAACTCCAGTGAGCCTCAGACTCACTGAGCAGCCCGAGATGGCCCTGAGCTCACTGTCTTCTTGTGCCTACGCCCCCAGGCTGGGACTGCAGCCGTGCACAGTACATCACTCCGCTCAACTTCACACGTCGTCTCCTTCCATTCTCAACTCACCCCTGAGAAGTGAACACTGGAAGCAGAACCTGAGGGGGGTTTCTTGTTTGTTTTGTTTTAACATAGCGTCTCACTGTATTGCCCCGGCTGGCCTGGAACTCACAGAAATTCTCTTGTCTCTGCTGTCTTTTTTTTTTTTTTGGTTAGAAACAATCTTGTTTCACAATCGCAGTTCCCTCTCCCTCCCCTCCTCCCCATCCCTCCCCACCAGGTCCCCCAGTCCCCCACCCAATCTCCACTGCAATCCTCAGGGAGGGTGAGGCCCTCTATGGTGGATCTCCAGTGACTGTCATTTCATCCAGGGCAGGACCTAGGCCTCCCCCAAGAGTCCTGGCTGAGAGAGCCTCCCATATTGTGGCATGGGCACTGGAAGTCTGTTTGTACGCTAGGGATAAATACTACCCAAGGCCCCATAGATTACCTAGGCCTCCTCACTGACACCCACATTTAGGGGGGTCTGGGTCAGTCCCATGCTTTCCACACAGCCATCAATCTGGGGTCCAAGAGCTCCCCCTTGTTCAGGTCAACTGTTTCTGTGGGTTAAACCAGCCCAGTCTTCTTCTGACACTGGATTCCTGGAGTTCAGTTCAGTGTTTGTCTGTGGGTATCTGCCTCTGCTTTCATCAGTCACTGGATGAAGGTTCTGTTTCCTAGACTCTCTGGCAGTGGGATTGTATGCTGGCACTCCCCTGATTCATGTCTAAAATCTATAAATGAGTGAGTGCATACCATATTTCTCTTTTTGTAACTGGGTTACCTCACTCAGGATGGTTTCTTCTAGTGCCATCCATTTGCCTGCAAATTTCAAGATTCTATTTTTTTTTCCGCTGAATAGTACTCCATTGTGTATATGTACCACATTTTCTCTATCCACTCTTCAGTTGAGGGGCATCTAGGTTGCTTCCAGGTTCTGTCTCTGCTGCCTTAAAGCTGGCTTATCTTGCCAGGTGTTGGTGGCGCACGCCTTTAATCCCAGCACCCAGGAGGCAGAGGCGGGTGGATCTCTGTGAGTTTGAGGCCAGCCTGGTCTACAAGAGCTAGTTTCAGGATAACCTCCAAAGCAATACAGAGAAACCCTGTCTCGAAACACAAAACAAAAATCTGGTTTGTTCCCCTACACTTATTTTATATATATATTTTATTTATTTTAGTTACAGATGGTTGTGAGCCCCCATGTGAGTGGTTGCCATTGAGCCTGGGTTCTTTACAAGAGCAGCCAGTGCTCTTAGCCACTGAACTCTTTCCAGCCCTGCTAGTGCTAGGTTTAAAGGCAACACCACCACACCCTGCATAGAACTGTGATTTAATGAGGCTAGAGACTTGCTGTGACCACCCAGCTTAGAAAGTGTAGAACCAGCCAGGTGATGGCACACTCGGGAGGCAGAGGCAGGCAGATCTCTGTGAGTTCAAGGCCAACTGGTCTACAGAGAAAGTATAGAGCAAACCCAAGTCAGACCCTAAGCCTTCTTTTAGAAGCTGTGTGACTCTGGACAGGTTTCTCTGCCTTTGTGTGTCCCAGAGTTTCCTCACTTGGAATGTTTGTTGTTTCTACAGGTCACTAAGGACCTGTTTGAATCAGGTCTTTGTAAACAGGGTTGAGTGGATGAGATGAGAAAAAGTGACCAGCTTCAGGAGAGCAGGCATGTTCCCAGTCTTGCTGCCACTTTGTAGGAGGCCAAGATTCCAAAGACAGTCTGTGAAACCCCTGTTGCCTGTTTCTAAAGGAGGGTGCTTATGAGTGGATTTTCCCCAGCTGCTTCTGTGGGGTCCTCTTTCTTCGTGACTCCAAAGTGCAGTGCCCTAGACAGACTGCCCAGGCCCTGGCTCTGCTGCCTGTCCTCTCCCAAGGCCCAGGTGGAGTCTACGCAGGGTTACTTCTCCATTTGGCCCTGCAGAAGGCTGACCTTGAGCTCCTGACCCTCTTGCTTCCTTTCAAGAGCTGGGATGGAGGCTTTTGCCACCCTGCTCAGCTTTGTTTTTGTTTTTTGAGATAGGTGTTTCTGTAGCCCAGACTGGCCTCTAACTCTTGGGAGTTCTCCTACCCCAGCCTCTCAAATACATAGGCATCAATCACTGCAGTCAACTAAGATTCCTGTTTACCTAAGGTTTCTCTCAGATTTAAATCAAACAACATCCTTTCTGTCTCACTGTGGGGCTCCTCCAGTTATGGGGCGTCCTCCTCTCTTCCTCCAAACCCTTGCTGGCACCCTCGCTTCTGTCTGTCAGGTGGTAACCCACCTCCGTTCCTCATATTTTGTGCCTTTCACCCCAGTCCCACTGTGAGTGCGGATATGTACCTGACCCGTTTCTGAGTCTCTTCCCTGCTCAGCCTTCGAATGTGGCCTGGCACACAGGAAGCCCTTCATAAATATTGTCACAGGACAGCAAAGCCTTGCTAACCATACTGAGGCTGCAGTTCCAACCTGTCCCGTGTTCACAGCAACCCGCAGACCCAGACGCTTGCCACCCACCCGGAACCAGGCACTAGAAGGTCTACACAGAGTCCGCATGCTCTGTCTCACTTTGTTTCCTCAGACCCTCCCTCTCGATACATCCCAGAGACCAGACATCCTCACTAAGGTGGATTTCTTGCCTGGTATCTCTAATGATTTTACCCTGCAGGGCCAAAAAAAAAAAAAAAAAAAGCCCACATTCCATGAGCCTGAGTATGTGACTGACAAGCCAAGGTTCTCTACAGGTTTGCAAAGCCACGGTCAAGAGACCTGAGGCCCTGCTGTGATGCACAGTGAGCCAGGTGTGTCCCTTCCCCCCCCCCACCGCTCCCTCCCATCTGTCCCCACTTTCGACACACTGATAGCAGTTGGACTACCAGACTTTCCTCCTCCCACGGCGCTCTCACGTGGGAGCTGGCCCTGCAGAGCAGGGATGGGAGCTGCTGTGGAGAAGGGGTGAGAGGAAGCATCTAGAGCCCTCTTGCCTCACCCAAGACTGTTTGGGGCTTTCCTGGGCTTAGTCCAAAAACTGCTTGTGGCCTCAGCAGAGTCTCAGGTGTAAAGACATGAACCCAGCATCTCTCTGGACCTTTTGCCCTCCGTGGTCTTCCAGGCCTGATGGTGTCCCCCTCTCTCCCTGCTGCCCCTGGCCCCAGGAAAGAGGAGACCGTCAGGAGCCTGGTGAATGACAAGCGAGCTGTGGTGGCACAGAGTCATCGCTACCAGCAGTACAGTGTGGTAATGGAGGAGGTAGGCTGTCCAGTCTGGGCCTCTGTTGGGTGTGGGAAAGGAGCAGTGCCCAGCTTCTCTGACCCACAGGTGTACGGTTGCAGGTCCCACTGCAGCCAGGAGAACACCAGGTTGATGACTATGAGGACGAGTATGATGACACATATGATGGCAACCAGGTGGGCGCCAACGACGCGGACTCTGATGACGAACTCATCAGCCGCAGGTGAGTTGTAAGGCTGACACACTAGTGTCAGGAAGCCAGGACTCAGCCCACAGCCAGCCTTCCCCACCCCAGCCCCACCCTCTGCTCCTTCACCCCATCACCCCAGCCTTTCCTTTTTTGGGGGGGGGTCTTAGCAAGTCCTGTTTTCTCCTAAGTGCAGAACATTTTTCTCAGCAGAATCTTGTAGGAATCTCCCTATGCAGATCAAAGCAGGGCTTCCCTGATGAACAAAAAGACTGGGGATCCCTAGGGCCCCTGCTCAGCTACCCCCTGGTCTCTCCACATGAGACCTCAAGGGACCTTGAAAGGATCTGGGGACTAAAGCAAAGCCTGCTTGAAAACCCCTGTGGGGTTCCCTGGCCTCCTGAACAGTGCCCCTCCCCAGCCTGCTCTCCCTCCCTCCCTCCCTCCCTCCCTCCCTCCCTCCCTCCCTCCCTCCCTCCCTCTCTCTCTCTCTCTCTCTCTCTCTCTCTCTCTCTCTCTCTCTCTCTCTCTCTCTCTCTCTCTCTAGTCAGTCTTTGATCTCACTTTCTTTTCCAACCCCCAGGCCCTTCACCATCCCTCAGGTGCTGAGAACCAAAATGCCTGGAGAAGGACAGGAGGAGGAGGAGGAATATGAAGTGGAGGAGGCTGAAGAGGAGGCCCCCAAGGTAGATCCCAGATGAAAGAGCTCTGAAGGGCAATTAGACACTGTGCCTCCTGCCTCTCCTGCTCTGGCCCTGCTGGTTTGGGGAGGGCCTTTCAAGCACAGACTGTGGAGAGCTGCCAGCTTTGATCTCCACTCCACTGCCTAGGGGCTTCCCAGGGGGCAGATAGAGGCTGGGTCTGTGGACAGCTGAGTCATTTTTTAGGTGCTGTGGTCTGGAAGAGGGAAGGGTAGCTGTAGCTGCTGTGTCCAGGCTGGCAGTCTTAAAAATTAGAGAAGACTTAGAGCCCTGAGGCTTTAGACCTAGTAGGTCCAAAAAGTCAGTTTTAGCAGCTAAACTTCTTCAGCTGAAATCTTAACTTGAAACTCAACATAAAAAAAAAGAAAAGATGAAAAGTGATTTTGCTCCATTTAAGGGCAGTAGCCAGGCAGCCCCCAATAGGGGACAAAACCAGATGTTCCCAGGGCTGTCTGGAGGCCCTGGTGGGAACTAGCCTAAGTGATGGGAAGGAAGCACATGGCCAGCCACAGGGTTCTCAGCCACGTGGCTCCATCCCTCCTTTTTGCCTAACCTGGGGTAAGTCCAGATTTGCCTATGATCTTTCCATGTCACTAATTGTACTCCTTTGGATTTTTTTTTTTTTTTTTTTTTTGGTTTTTCGAGACAGGGTTTCTCTGTATTGTTTTGGAGGCTCTCCTGGTACTCGATTTGTAGACCAGGATGGCCTCGAACTCACAGAGATCCACCTGCCTCTGCCTCCCGAGTGCTGGGATTAAAGGCGTGCGCCACCAACGCCCGGCAGGATTTTTTTTTATAGGATATGCTATGTGTCAAAGCCTGCCTGTTCCCTGAGGTCCTAGCTTTCCCTGCATAGATCCACCATGCACGTTGAGTGTAGAAAACTGTCCCCAAGACAGCTCACCCTACCCTCTGCTGTTGTATCAGCGTGGGCCTGACCTTCAGGTCTCGGGGCGAGCCTGCTTCCTGGGGCCTTAGCTAGCTTTCATGGCCTTTTGTGGCCTTTCCTGTTGGCCATCTCCACCAAACCCACACACATCCCGTTGGCGTGCCAACTGCGGTCCTTTCACCCTGTCAGCCTGCCCCATGTCCCTTCGCTCCTTCCCTCCCTAAAGGAGGCTTCGGTTGGCAACAGCTAGCTCTCCCGAAGATTTCCCACCCTACCTGCTGGAGGGTGGGATGTGTCACAGTTCCTTCCAGCATGGCTCCACAGAGCCCAGAGAAATGGGAAAAAGCACATGACGGAAGGTTTTGTCTCTCTTCCTTCTACAGCTGGACCATTTCATCCAGGATCCTGCAGTGCTGAGAGAAAAGGCTGAAGCCAGGCGCATGGCCTTCCTGGCCAGGAAGGGGTGAGCATTGGAGAGAATAATTCACCCGGAAGAAACCCACTAGGAAACTTACTATGCAGGAAACCCTGGGAGCTTTTTTTTTTTCTTTCAAGACAGGGTTTCTCTGTGTAGCCCTGGCTGTCCTGAAACTAAACCAATCAGATATTTTAGGCAAAGTAGCACAGCTTTGCAGAGTTAAACAAATGCAACATAAAAAAATGCAACACGAGCCGGGCGGTGGTGGCGCACGCCTTTAATCCCAGCACTCGGGAGGCAGAGGCAGGCGGATCTCTGTGAGTTCGAGGCCGGGCTGGACCGATAGCCTCCAAAACAATACAGAGAAACCCTGTCTCGTAAAAACCAAAAAAAAAAAAAAAAAAAGCAACACATCTTTGCATTATTAAACAAATGATCCACAGCATAAAGGAATGTAACACATCTTCAACTAATGTTCCACAACAAGAGGACCTCTGGTTCTAAGGGTACGTAGTGAGGATCTGTCTCAGAAACAAAAAGGATTGAGCCCAGATGGCTTGGCTTTGTGTTCTGCACTCATAATCATTACTTGACCGTGTAAGTCTCGCTCAGCATGGGAGTACATGCAAAGCTCACTGGTGGAATGAAAATAGCCCAGGCAAAAAGCGCATCCTTAGAGGCTTAGAGTCATGGTGGAGACACAGGGGCACTTGAGCTAAGCCCTTAGGGTACAAAGATGTGGAAGAGGTGTTTTGTTTTGTTTTTCCAGACAGGGTTTCTCTGTGTAGCACTGGCTATCCTGTAAACCAGACTGTCCTAGAACTCAGAGATCTGCCTGCCTCTGCCTTCAGAGTGTTGGGATTAAAGGTGTGTGCCACACCGCCCATCTGTGGAGAAGTTTTATTATGGTGAAAAGTCCAGGAAGCACAAATATGTCAGAGAGAGGATCTTAGCAGGGGTCCCTGAGACAACTGTCAGGTTCCCTCTTTATGTTAGTAAAGAAACTGGCCAAATGGGCCAAGAGTAGAAGCATGGGCCAGGCGTGAAGGCTCAGTCCCACCCTCAGCTCTGGGCATAGGTGACATTTGATTTCATTCTGAGGGCAAGAAGTCACAGGTTATTCATCAGAGAGCAAAGCTGTTGTGAGTTTCTTCCATCCATTTCCCTGAGGTAATGCTCTGAGTAGACCCCAGAGGCTGGTAGGTTGTCAGTCAGGTCTGTGAGCACATTTGGCCTTTGGAGGCCACCAAGTTAGGACCTGGTGTGTGAAAGTAGAGCATTGTCCCATTTGTAGGAGGGTGGGTGGCAGAGGGAAGAGACCTATCTTCCAGTCCACTAACAGTTCATGCTCACAGATGGGTGATGGGCCCAGCTTCAGGGGCTAGGAGAAAATCAGACCCAGACTGGGACTCCATTTCCCTTCCTATCTGGACGTGGGCAAGGGTATGACCTCAGTGGTAGCCACCAGGGTGGACTGTGGAGGTCTTCCTATCAGAGCCTCTTCCAGCTGATGTCCGTTATCATGTGGTGGGTGTTACTCCTTCAGGTACCGGCCTGAGAACTCCGCAGCAGTGACGGGCAGCCCCCGGGGTCATGGGCAAAGCCGAGAAACTACCCAGGAGCGCAGGAAGAAAGAAGCTAAGAAGGCAACCAGAGCCAACCACAACCGTAGAACCATGGCTGACCGGAAGAGAAGCAAAGGCATGATCCCATCCTGAGGTCACAAAGCTGCCTGGGTGAAGGAGGCCCCTCAAGGCTTCCACCACACCTCACCTGCCAGCCAGCCATGAGCGCCTTCCTATCGAACACAAAGTGCCTTATCCCTTGGTGCAGGAACCCAGTGCCATCAGGCAGGCTGTCTCCCAGCTGTGCTGGCGGGAAAGGATGGGGTTGAAAAACCAAGGTGTCCCTTATTTTATGCATCAAGACACCACCTCACGGAAGTCCTGGATGGCAGGAGACCTGTGTATCCAGCAGCAATGAAAGACCCGTGAATAAAGCTTTGACCTTCCAACAATGTTCCCGACATGCTCCAGCCTTTTCCCTGTCATTCCTCAGTGATTGGAGGACAGAAAGGCACGGCGGTCCCCACTCTCTGTCTGTTGACTGTCCGTGCTCGCCCTCAGTGCCACTCCTAATGTTGCTTGCTCTTCCTTGCTGTGTGAGTTCCAGCACGTCGGCCCTTTCTCTGTGCCTGTGGAAGGAAGTCACAGTGTGAGGCCTGAGGTCCCTTCCGTTGCTACCTCATGTACCCCCTCCCCGGAGGTAGACACTGTTTCCAGTCCACAGTACGGATTGGCAACTCAGTCTGATCCCTGGCTGTACAGGTTACAGATCCATGTAGATGAAGTCAACCCCCATGTCACAGATAGAAAGAACAAGGAGTTATAGTCTCTTACTTATACTGCTAGCCACCAACTGTCACACATCTAGAGATTAGAAGCTACTGAAAAGAAGTGAAGATATACTGCCAACCCCTGTTGAACCGAGTGGAACTTGGCTGGCGTCCAGAGCCCTGTCCAGGTGTGGCCTACTCTGCAGTGGGCATCAGCAAACGGACCCTCTGGGCTTTAACTGGTGTGCAAGGGAGCCACAGTGAGGTCTTTGCTGGGCTGACCCTGCAGGGCCCAGTCTTATCTGCAGATCTCTGGATGACAGGGACATTGATTTGATTGCAGTTGGGACAACATAGGCAGACAGATGCTTGATAAATTGTTTTGTTAGGCCAGCCTGCACAAGTGAAAATCAATGGCAATCCCTGTGCCTTGCTGGCCTCTGGGAGCATTTGAGATGCAGAGTGGGTATGGGGTGGTGTCCTCCCCAAGGGCTGCTGAATTAGGTGAGATCTGGCAGAGTTAGCCATACTGACAGACAGAAGGAAAACAGTTTCCTCCTGGAAGCACTTAACAGTGGCCCAGCTCAGTGACAGGGTCATTTCTCCCTGACTGAGCTCAGGCTGGGCTGCTGTCTCATGCAAGGCTTTTGGAGCTCTGCCTGCTGCTGTTCCCCGCAGCCACCCAGAGGACCGCCTGGGTTTCCTGGGAGCAGTCTGGCCAAAAGAATAAAACATCACTATCTTTCTGTTTCCCAGCATGTCAGGCTAGATCAAACACAGTCCCCCAAGGAGCAACATGTTGCTTGCACCTTTTAGCTCACCAGGACAGCCTTCCATGGCCCTTTAAAAGCAGCCCAGAGCATTCCTGTCACCCCTTCCAACAAATGAGAGTGTTGGACCAGATGCCTGGAACTGATTGGTGTTGGTGAAGTCCCTAGAGATGGTGACTGAGACTGTTGCTCAGTGGAAGGACACTTACCTAACATGCACAAGACTGTGGGTTCATCCCCAGTACTAAATACACAAAGGAAGTCCCCAGGGGATCCCAAGTTTAAGATTAGCAGCCCAAGAGTGTTGGGTCAGTGGCCATCCCCACTACTCCTCTATTCGGGTATTTTCTAAGTGCCTTTTCTGTGCCCTACAAAGAATATGACCATCATAGATGTTTCTGGAAAAATGTAAAACCTTGTGCCTCTGAAGGGACACAAGACTCAAGTGTCTTTAATCCTAGTTCCCTGGGAGACAAAACCAGAGACAGATTATGAGAGACCTCAGAGCCTATGGAAAGGAGCTGAGCAAGGAGTCTGCCATAGTAACAGCCATGGCTATGTGTCCTTACCCAGCTGCAGCCTAGAGGAGAAAGCAGTTGGCATAAACCTGCATGTTACTGCCCTTCCAGGAGCTCGGGTTCAATAGTATGTGCAGAAAAACAATCAGAGTCAGCCAGAGTTCAACATGGTGGCACATACTTGTTTCTTAGGAAGTAGAGACAGCTCAAGGTTAGCCCAAGCTACATGTGACCCTGTTAATCTTTCTGAAGAACAAACTTAAAAGCAGAACACATGAACATAGTGTCAGGCATTGTTTGTGAGAGTGTTAAAACTCATTTTTCACGCTGACCATGGGTGATGCTCGTGGCAGGGCCAAGATTATGTCTATTGAGAATAAACACAGTTCCTAAGCCTCATTCAGGACAGGCTTTCTCCTCTTGTCTTCTAGAGTTCATTTGCTTGCTTAATCTTGCAACGTTGGGTCAGGTGAGAAAATTGAGGTACAGGGAGGCCCAAGGTCACATAACAAGGGACCCTGGTTAGGGTCAGTCAGCCACACTTTTCCCCTCTCACTGTAACCAAACAAGACAGCAAGTACTGAGAGCCCAGGGTGCTTGGATGCTCTAGGCTGCTGGGACTCCCAAGTACACAGGGTGTTGTCTATAAATCTGGGTTTCTTTTTCCTTTTTTTCTTTCTGTTTTCCACCTTCAAGAGGCTTGTGCAGTTTACTGTTCAGCCTACAGAATAATGTTTTTGTTTTGTGGGTGTGTTTAGTTTTTTGAAACATGGTTTCTGTGTGTAGCCTTGACTGTCCTGGAACTCCCTCTGTAGACCAGAGTGGCCTCAAACTCAGAGATACACCTGCCTCTGCCTCCCAAATGCTGGGTTTAAAGGTTTGCGCCACCACCCAGCCATGTGTGTTTGTTTTTAAAGAAGGAACTGTTCTAAAACCTTATTTTGTATTTACATGTGTGTGTACATGTATGAGTTTATATGTACCGAGTGTGCAAGTGCCTGCTCAGACCAGAGGACGTTGGATCTCCTGGACAATAGTTAAATGCAATTGCAAGCCGCCTAACATGGCTGCTGGCAGCTGGACCTGGGTCATCTGCAAGAACTCTCTCCCTGGGTCCCTGTTTCATTTTGTGAGACAGGTTCTGAATATGTAGCCTAGGCTGACCTCAAATTCAGGATCCACTTGCCACAGCCTCCAGTGTGGTGGGATTATAGGTGAGACCTCTCCTCAGGAGAGGAGGGGGAAAGGTGATGGTGTCCTGATCAGAGCCTGAATGGCAGTGCAGCCTGGGAGAGCTCTGGCCATGCACAGCCTGTCCCAGGGACCAGCCCCAAGCAGCCAATATCCACATTTACTGCCTGTACTAAGAGTCAGCCTATTGGGAAACCAAAAGTGTGAGACCAGGACCCCTATTTAGTGCATGTGTTCCAAAGCTCTGCTGGGTGTCAGCATCCATACATAATGCCCCCCTGCCCTCCTGGGATCACAGTACATAGGGCATGTGGGCATTAAATGAAATGTTTTAGACAAGCAGAGCGACTGAAGAAGCCAAGGGTGCTTGTACATTGGGCAGAAGCCAGAAGTCACCAGTGACTATGGTGACTGGCTTGGCTAACAGTGGAGGTGGGATGGGGCATGGAGAAGAGTCAGAGACTGCAGGGGAACTGGTTCTGGAACGTAGCATTGCAGAGGAGGAAGAGGAGGCCCGAGGTAAGCAAGGTAGGTTGGCACAGTCCCACCTTTAGCTTTCTAGAAGGAGCTGGAGCTCCACGGAGGAAGGCTGGGCTGAAAGCCATACCAGGCTGCTAAGCCACCCCTGGCCTCTGCTCTTACCAAGATTCCTGGATATGGAGCAACCAGGGAGGGGCCTGGCAGAGGCCAAAGGTAGCTGTTGGAACTCTGCAGCCCTAACCCAGGTTGAAAGGTTGATTCTGATGCTGGGGCAATGACTCTTCTAAAGTACCCTGGTTCAGTCCCCAGCACCCACATGGCAGGGCTCTGTAACTCCAGTCTTGGGGGATCAAAAGCCCTCTCTAGCTGGGGGGGGTCACTGCATACATGGGGTACACAGACATACATGCAGACAAAAGACTCACACACACAAGACAATGAAATTGAAAAGGTTGATGCTGGTGACAGTAGCATTGACAGCCCTGTGTGTGAACAGGGTGTGAGTGAGGGATGGGTCCTGAAAACAGCGGTGAGACCTTGCCTTGGTATCACACAGAAATTAGAGTGTTCACAGCTGTCAACTGGCCGGCAGCATTCTCAACTTATTAAGCTCCCTAACCCCGTGTCTTCCGGTGCCCTGAGCACATTGTCTTGAGGATTTGTGAGTTTCTGTGGGGCTCTCCCAGACACAGTTTTCTTGCTGTGGTCTAAATGGCAAAAGGGACAGGCACTGAGTTCTGTTTTCCAAAAGTGACATTATGACACCAACTTTTTCCAGTTGCAAGATACTCACCACTCATAAGTGTTCTGCCATCTCAAGGAGGTAACTATGTCTGCCTGCCTGCCTGCCTGCCTGCCTCTCTCTCTCTCTCTCTCTCTCCCCCCTCTCTCTCTCACACACACACACACACACACACACACACACACACACACACACACCATGAAAAAGTGGTTTTCACCCAGGAGCCAGGCTGAACCTGATTCGGGTAACCTCCAGCACTCTTTGCAGTGTCTGCACAGGCTCCAGGCCTGCCTCCCATCTCACATTCTCCTTGCTCAGCATTCTTTCACCAGACCCTCAGGCCTGCTCATGCCTGTCGTTTTTATTGCTAATCCATCCATAAAGGAGGATGAGGCAGTCAAAAGAGCACTGGACTGAAGACCAGGAGCCAAGAGGTGGGGGGTGGTGACTCAGCTAGTTAACTGTATGCTGCCTACACATGAAGATCTGAGTTCTGATCCCCAGCACCTGAGGAGCAGCAGGTGCTATAGACCAGGGATAATGAGTGGCTTGAACCTTTAATGTTGGCACTCAGGAGGCAGAGGCTGGTGGATCTCTGTGAGTTCCAGGCCAGCTTGGTCTACAGAGCCAGTTCTAGCAGTGACAGGAGTAGCCACTGCAGCAGCTCAGTTCTCTGCTTAAGGAGGCTCAGTGACCACGGCAGAATCCAAACAGGTCAGCCAGCCTCCAGAGTCTACATCCTCAACCCCTCAGCTCTCCTGCTTCTCTCCAGTTTGGCACTTGAGCTGGGGAGAGGAAAAAAAGGTATCCCATGTATGTTTGACTTAGCATGAGCAGGAAGGGTCATCACCACCTTGATTCTAACCATGGGACTTCTGCTGATGCAACTTGTAATTCAAGTCGTTTTGTAAAACTGAGGGGCAGAAGAAGGAAAAGATAGGAAGCTGGGCAGAATACATTTTATAAGTTCCACTTTACCAC